GCTTCCAGGACCCTTGCGACGTTCCCCCCACCTGGAAGCTGGCGATTTCGCCGGTGCTGGCCCCGTGGGGGGGTGGGGGAGCCTCGCAAGGGTCCTGGAAGCCTCACCCTGACCCTTGTGATGCTCCCCCCCACGGGGCAGCGGTGACGAAATTGCTGCCTTCGGTCCATAAGACGCACGGACATTCCTCCCCACATTTTGGAGGGGAAAAAGTGCGTCTTATGGACCAAAAAATACGGTAACTAGGTTCATTTCATTGAAACAATGGCAATGGAGGAGTGGAGGCTTAACTTTTTCCATTCTGCTCTGTTTTTTCTGAATTAAATAGCACACTTGCTCTATGGAATTTCTCACCCCACTAAAGAGAACATTACAGGACCCCTAGTAGCAAAACAATAGTAACTGGGTGGGAAGAAGCCATTTATATTAGAGACAACAGGATCTTGTGAAAAGGTAAAACATTCCTTTATTATAGGAGCACTAATGTGTGGCTGCGATTAACTGAACATTTGTCCATCATTTTCTGAAGGATACTGATGAAGTTGGGTAACCTGATTATGGATTTCCTGCATACCATGTAGTTGACCATTGGTTATTTGTATATCAAATTCGCAAATGTAGTTACTTATTATTTGGCATAACTTTATGCCTTTGTTCTCCATTTTTCTTTTCTTCTATTGCTAGGTTTTGTATAATTTATCTAAACTTTCTTTTCTTGAAAATTTAACTTACAGGTTGGAATATATCTTCTTGAAGCTGGTTTAAGTAAGATAGAGTTCCTTAGCGATGGTGGTGGCAGAATAAAAAAGGCGAATCAACTCCTTCAGAAACTGATGGAGAAATTCTATGATTTTATAATTCCAGGTAATTTACTGTTTGTCCAAAATTCTAAAGAATTTCACCTCAGTGTATCATGCACTGTCATTTATTTTAACTCCATACAGTTCCTATTCAATGCATTTGTTATTTACCCACATTTGCACTTATGCCTTTGTTGTCACACTCTTTTAAGCATAACAATCTTTGCTATTTTGTCTAGTATAAAGTTAGAATAAACTAATTGTTGTTCAATATTTTCTGGCTTCCTGATACTGGGTACTGAAATTATTAGGCAGATTGGTTTCAGTTGCGGAAGGTATAGTTGTAATGTTAATATTTTTCCTAGATCTACACAGGAATTTGTGAAGGGGGCAAGTTTCAAGAGGACCTTGACAGATTCCTTGCTTAGTTGTTACGAGGCTCAATATATTTCCTTTCTTGGAGCTTCCCAATGCTTCTTCCCACATCCATGCCTCTAAAATTCTAGAGTAGTCATACAGATTTTCAGACATATCAGGTCATACAGATTTAGAGAATTTCTGTACATCTTAATTTTAGAAAACCTACACAAGGTGAAAATCATTTTATTAATAGCACTTGATAGCCAAATTCACTTTCATGTTGTGTTTAGTCATTTTCTTGATATAAAAATCTAGAAATTAAAGATTTTTGATGCATTGTATCTCAGTGTTTATATACATGTGGCTTGAATGTTGGAGTGAACCTATTGAATCAGTGGGATTTGTAAAATTGTTTGCTCTCAGTTCAGCAGCTGTTTTAGTGATTATACTGTTGCTGAAACTAGCAATTGAATTAAGGCCCCTTTTTCCATAGTGTATACATTTTACCATTGTAGAACTGAGATTCCAGGAATTTGCTTAAAAACCTGATGTTGCTATTCTTATCTAGTCATCAAACCATAGTAGATGCTGGTTAATTTAAGTAACTTAATTATAATTGTTCTAATGGTACCTGTAATAATGCATATTCACTTTGTTTGAAAGTGAATATGATGAGCTTTTCGATAAATCTTGAAAACTGCTGTACTTAAATGCTTGCTGTTAGGATGACATTATAAGTTGTGTATATATTACAGGACATATTTGATTTAAATCGAATCAATTTAAATAAATAGATTTAAGTAAAATTCAGAGTTTTTAAAATGATTTAAATTAAAAAAATCAGTATTTTTATTGTGAATTGAAATGATCTTTTTGAAGAAATCATTGATTTTATGTTATGCAAATTTTATGTAAATTATCCTAGCCTAATTTGAAATCAGGTTTATTGTGTTGAAACATTCTGCTCATAAAACAATTGTAGACATTAAGCACTAGTGCTTAATGCATTAACTATTATGGCTCATAGCATATAAGATGGCTATTTAACTATTGTGTTGAACATCTGCATTGATTGTATATCTGTGCCTGAAGTTCTATTTAGCTATTGTGGCTAAGAGCTGTTTATACTTACTTTCCATGCATTTGTCTAATCCTGTTTTAAATCCATCTGTGCAGGTAGCCATCAGCATGATTGATTGACTGATTGATTTCCCACCTTTTTCTTTGAGAAGGACCCAAGGCAGCTTACAACATTGAAAGACAATATTTAAATTAGAAAACAATAAGTGTACAATGGCGGTTAACATAATTAAAAGGCAATATTAAAGCTAAGAACAATAAGTATGCAAATATTAAGAAGAAAAAAAAATAAATGTCACTCTAAGATATGGAAAACCCAAAAATGGAAAACACGAGTAGGACTAAAAAGCCAGTCAAAACAGTCGTGCATAACAGTCCATCTAAAAATTACACGCAGGTAGCTAGTTACTGAGGGAAGGCTTGCCTGAAGAGAAAAGTCTTTGCCTGCTTTTCCATATCCAGTTCTCCTTTTTCTTGAAAAGTACCATGGCCTATCTATACTGTCCAAAATACAAAGTAAAGAATACTAACGTGACCTATTTTGTGGTGCTGTAAAAATGAAAGATCTTGGATAGTAATAGATTAAATTAAGATGAATGAATTTGTTATTACTATGAGTTTTTTTAGTTATGTAGTGAAATTTGCAGTAATCTACTCAGTAACAAAAATGCTACAATTATGTGAAGACTATTACAGGCAGTTTCAACATTTTTCCTTAAGGATTTTTTTAAAAAAAGAGAATTATAACATCATTTCCTCCCTAGTAGAAGTTTAATATTGTCCCTAAGGCTGGAAGTGATATTACTCTGGATTAATACTCATTAGTACAGGGGTGGGGAACCTCTGGACTTCTGGGTACTGATCAAGTACTTCTCCTATTGGTCCTTACTACTGGCCATGCTAGCAGAGGGTGATAAGAATTAGCCTATAAATGGCAACAGGTTCCTTAGCCATGCTTTACTACTCAGGATCTTTGTCTGTCCGTTGATTTTTACAGCAGTGCATAAGATATGACAGATATTGCTGTTAATGAACTGATGGTGTAAACATTTATATATTTTAGATATTTTGGAGGAAGATGAGGAAGAGTCTGACAGGGATATAGAGCGTCAGAATATTGAGGAGCTTTATGACTATGTGAGGCATGTACACCAAAAAGAATTACAGTTTTTGAATGAGAACGTACAGCATGCTGCATTGATTCCAGTATTGAGACCATATCAGAGTGAGGCAGTAAACTGGATGCTGCGACGTGAGAATTTCAGAAATACACCTACCAATGGCAAGTATCTTGAAATAGGCAATACAGTGGTGCTCCGCTAGATGCTTACCCCGCATGATGTCGAAATCGCTTCATGATGACATTTTTGCGATTGCTATTGCGATCGCAAAACAATGGTTCTAATGGGTTTTTTGCACTTCATGTTGATTAGGAGCCTGCTTTGCGAACTGTTTGTTCGCTATACAGTGGTGCCTCGCTTAACGAGCGCACCGTACAACGACGAATCCGCATAGCGATCCCCTTTTCGGGATCGCTAATGCGGAGGCATACCGATCGTCCCAATGGGCAAAACTCGCATAGCAACGATCGGTAAGCGTTTCGCTTACCGATCTTCGCTTTGTGATGCCCGCGGATCAGCTGTTTGGCGGTTCTAAAATGGCTGCTGGACGCCCGAAATGGCCGTGCGCAGCGTTTTCGTGCCCTCCCCTCACTTACCGAGGGCGCAAAAATGGCTGCCACTATGGAGGAAACTTCGCTGAACGGTAAGTTTAGGGCCCATTGGAACGCATTAAATGATGTTTAATGCGTTCCAATGGGTTTTTATGTTCCGTTTAGCAATGTTTTCACATAGCGAGGGTTAATCCGGAACATCGTGTTTACAACGGCAACCCTTCCCATCAGAACCATGCACCAGAGTCCACTGAAACATAAGGAAATCAAGAGAAGAGCAAACGGAACCACGATTCTCGAAACATCCTCCAGTGAAGAGCCATAAACTCACATGAAAATCTTCCTCCTTCTATGAGTTTATCTGAATAGCTTCAATTTATATAATAAAAGCTGAAGTGGCATTAGTATGTAACAGAACATTGGATGGGTGGGATTCTTTAGGATTTTAGTTGCTGTGCTTTCAATTTTGAAGAAAAGGAAATGTGGAGTGTAACTAAATGGGGGTCATGAACAGCATGTGTATGAATATTAATCTTCCATTCTTTCCCTTTACAGAAAATGCCCTCCACTACTTATGGAGAGAGTTTATTACTTTAGATGGACTAAAACTCTACTATAATCCTTTTACTGGCTGGTAAGATTTACTAATTTTAGTTTTATAGCCAGAGAGTGTACAATTGAGAAAATACTAATACATGCTATAAATAATACTTCAGCATGGTATGAAACTGCTTTATATTCTGCTTTCTTAAATTTAAGCAAGACAACATGCAATAAGTTAAATATAATGCAGTGGAGTTTGCAAAACCGGTAACTGAATTAAATGTTTTACTGTATACATGTCTCTTTCCAATTTTGCAGATCTGTACTTGACTGTTAATGGATGATTTATATCGTTTACTTTTCGTTCTACAAAGCATGGGTAGATAATAGGCCTAAAATAGCTGTGACATATTATCCTAGAATTTTGTGCAAGCTTCAGAAAATGCTAGTGGAATCTCTCTTCAGCTTGCACCTTCCAATCAGAAATATGCACAACATGTCCTTAACTAGGATGCATCTTTGGTCTGCAGCATTATTCGTGAGCGACCAAGTGCTGGGCCTCAGTGGCCTGGAGGAATATTGGCAGATGAGATGGGCCTTGGAAAAACAGTAGAAGTCTTGGCTCTTATCCTAACACACACTCGAAAGGATATCAGACAAGATGCTTTGATGTTACCCGAGGTAAGAAATCTTTGGTATGTGTGTGAATGAAGCAGGGTTTAATATTCAAGCGCTGATTCAGTCTTTTTAATGTATATGTAACTGAAGCTTATACTTAAAAGAATATCCCTTTTATAATCTGTTTTCTGGAAACTGACAGTGTGAAAAAGGATTTGATAATGAAAACCAATGTTATAATGATTTACTTTTTGATTGATGGGTGTTTAAAAATCAAGTGCATATGACATGTTCGGTCCTTGGATGCACACCTTAACATGACAAGGGGGCTTGATTGTATCACAGAAGCCAAAAGCAGTGCTGTTAAGGGGGCTAGACTTTTATGGGTCTGGGCTCCAGGCTGGATCATTCAAGAAAGGAATGGTCAGAGCTGCATACATACGTCAGACTACGATGCATGCAGCCTCTTCAGGAGTAATGGTCACATCAACATCAGTGGTGTTTGGGCAGAGAAATTAGCAGTAATAGTTGGAGGTGACACAGGTGGAGGATTTTTCATAAACAGCATCAGTGATACTCAAGCTAACTTTCAGTAGTATTGCATAAAAGAAGACAATGGTGATCCACTGCTGAGTCTTTCTTATCTTGCAAATCCTATGATGAGACTATCTAAAATGAAATAAAATATAGTTTTGGAAAATGAGACACACAGGTTGGAAAGCACTTGAGTCCCTGCATTGTTAATATCAAAAATTAGATTAAAGTTGAAAAAGAATGCTAAAAGAGTCATAGTGCCAAAATATAATTTAAATAACATTTATGATCAGTTTACAGTCCATATAAAGAGGAAGTTTGCATTACTGAACCAGAAGAATTGTGGATTGAAACCAGAGTACACCTGGAAAAAAAAATGCAAAAAACCCTATTTCTGTAGTGAAAAGAATGGGAAAACCTAAATAGATGGTAGAAAATACACTTAAAGTAGGGGGTCCCCAACCTTTTTCACCCCACAGACTGGCTGGGGAAGGAGCATGCACAATGTGTGCATGCACAAATGGCAGCACAGCACTTTTGCAGGTGTGTACATGCTTGTGTGGAGGTGCAGATGGTGGCACAGTGCTCACACGGGGCACTGGAGCACACATGCGCAAATCAGCTGCTCAGGGGTGAGTGTGTGCGGGGGGGGCGGGAGGTCTGTCTTCGCGGCCCAGTCCAGCTCAGGCCACGGACCGGCACCAGGCCGCGGACTGGGGGTTGGAACCTCTGACTTAAAGGACAGGTGAGATGTAAAAGTAAAAGGTGACATTCAGGGTGAGAATCCTGAATCTACTGTTTCACTGACTATTGTGTAGAGACAGAAAACTATTGTGATGGGCAGCGCAAAGAATAGAGAACAAAAATGAAGAAGAACAAGAGATTTCTTACAGAAGATCCAAGAAATGAAAGGGAGATTTTAAACACAGGATAGAGAACCCTGATAGAGAACTTTGGGGCTGTATTGGGACTTGGTCCATCCATGCCTTCTCTAAAATATGAAATAACACAGTGAAATTGATTGACATGTACTACATGCAGGTTAGAAATGTGCTATAGTAGGATGGACTGATGTCTGCTACTTAGGAGAATTTGAAGGACGATGAAGGACAAATTCATAGAACTTATGCCCCATCTGTGATGCAGTAAACCCCTAACATTCAGAAATAGGATGCCTTTTGCGTTTTACTAAGATGCAAATAACAGAAAAGTGTTATTGCTGGAAATGTGTCTAACTAGTGTGCCAAAAGCAAGATTCCTGGGTTAAATTATTGGCCTGATATAGTATGTCTGTCTTATAGTAAAGAGACAACACATTTTCCCATCTCTATTAGAATTTATATTCATGTGATAGTTGGCATGTTCTCTGAAATGTTCAGTTTGTCTTACATAATGTGAGTTTCATATTTATGTAGTCTAGCCGTAATCAAGATATCTACTAAGTACTAGAATTATGAAACAGTGAGATTACTAATTCTTAATGTTTTTCTTGTAAAATAACATTTTTCCCCTTTTAAAAAAAGATGAACACTGTTTAAGGGTACTGTTGAGGATTCAGGCAATAAGGGAAGGACATCATCCAGCAATGGGGGAGTTAGTCGCTCCCTCTTCTTAGACCACATACTGCCAATAGCTTTAAAGATTGGTCTTTTGCTTCTTCTGGTATAGGTCCCTCTTACATCCAGCCTCAGTCTTACTTTTCTTAAAACCGCAAACATTGTCATAACCATTTTACAATCCATTGTGAGTCCTTATATGTTCAGTAGAGGTAAGAGACCAGTAGCTTAAGCATATAGATATTTTTGGCATGCTTGTTTAATATGTGTTAATCATTCTGTAGATTATGAAGTGTGTAGGTACTGTGGCTAAGTATGTGACTTGTTGTTGTCATTATATCACAGGGGTTTTTAGTTAACTTCTTTGTTCCACCACAACCCACTGAAGGAAACAAGAAAAAAAGCATAAAGAAAATCGAATTTAAATTGAAGGAAAAAGTGCACTATCCTAGTAAGTATTTTTCAGCAGATATAATTTGGCAGAAGCAATGACTATTAACCCTGAAAAGGGTAAGTCAGAATTGACTTGATGACTAGTAGTAGTAGTAGTAGTAGTAGTAGTAGTAGTAGTAGTAGTTCAAAAACACCAGGCACAGTCAATCAAAAATATAAAAACATTGACTGGCATATATATTATATAACCGATACAAGTTTTAACCAAAAACCTAAGTATCTGTTAAATATCGGCACAGTATGTATGCTGTTCCTAATATTGCTGTTTTTTGTAGCTCTGATGGTGTTATTTCTGAAATCTGCAACTGCTTATAGTACTTTGTGAAACTTCTTGATATTGTTCCCAAAGCCCCAATGACTATGGTGACCACTGAAGTGTGTTTGATCCACAAGCGAGATGTTTCCACTGCCAGGTCTCTGTATTTTGTTAGTTTTTCCGATTCTTTGTTTTCAACTGTGGCATCCCCCAGAATTGCAATGTCAGTGATCCAGACATTTCTTCGTTCTATTACTACTGTGTTATGTTGAAATGTATATCAGTTTGGATCCGGAAATCCCATAAGATCTTGACTTCTTCATTTTCTGAAACCTTCTGTATCTGATGTTCCTACGTGTTTTTTTGGAGGCTGGCAAGTTATATTTTTTGCATAACAATCAGTGCTCTAATTTTGCCACTCTATCATGTCTAATTTTGTGTTCTGTTTGTGCAGTTTTTGGTCATTTGCACATGAAATGTGACACAGTTTCATTTTTTTCTTGCTGTTAGCACTAATTCCTTGGATCTTGGCTTTCATCACATTGGTTTGGACTGACTCCTTGATGGGGCTAGAGTTAATTATCCATGGGGTCCCTGCCAGCAATGTAGTTCTAAGATTATGATGATTAGCTCACAGAAATTGGCCAAAAAAAGAGAAAAGAAAAGAAAAAAATATTGATTTAGAGCAGGGGTCCCCAACTTTTTTAACCTTACGGACTGGCTGGGGAAGGTGGAGCACCCCCGTGCTCATGTGCGTGTGCACTTGTGCAAAGGAGCGGGAGGGTGTTCATGCGGGGGCATGTTCATACAGTAGTGTGGCGCTCAGGCAGGTGTGCACATGCATACACAAAGAGGGGCGCTTGTGTGCACGCGCAGGCACAAAGCAGCTGTGGGGGGTGAGTGAGTGTGGGGGGGAGGGAGGTCTGTCTCCGTGTCCTGGTCCGGATCAGGCCACGGACTGGCACCAGGCCGCAGACCAGGGGTTGGGGACCTCTGATTTATACGACAGAGGAAAAAATACGAAATTACATGGATATCCAAAAGATGCAACTGAGGACAGAGTGAATTTTAGAGACACAATATTATAATGGATCAATACAGTGGCACCAAGACTGGGATGTCTGGAAGAGGATCTGGGGAGACTATCCAGAGTGGTACTGAAGCGGGGGAGGAAAAATGGCCCCCAGAGATATTGGGGGGTTAAAAAAAAGAAATGCTTATAAAAGCTGTCAGAGAGACGTCTGGACAATTGCAGTTTAAGCACATACCAATTCAGGTGTTTTCTGACCTTTGTTATAAAATGGTTTTTATGGACATGTAAGATGAAATTAATTACCATAATTCTCACAAAGAATAATATAAAACACAGTGGGGAATCGAACTCCCAACTGGCTCCACAGCCAGACACCTAAACTACAGAGCAATCCAGCTAGTCCATACCAAAATAGTTTTTGGCATTAGGCTTGGCCGTTCTGTGAATCTTTTACTTTTGGGCCCGTTATTTTCATTTCAGGCAGTGGAAGATAGGAGGGGCTGGCGTGCTCTGGTCCATGGGGTCACGAAGAGTCGGACACGACTAAACAAAACGATTTTCATTTCATCCTTAACCTCTGATGTTGCTTTATGTATCTCTGCTTTAATTTCTGTCACATCTTTTAATTGTTGTCTCCAGTTCTGTTTTAATTATTTTCTCTTTCTCTCTTTTAAGCTCTTTTTAAAATTCTGTTTTAACTTCTGATGCGTTCTTCTCCATTATTTTCTGAATTTCTTCTAGTAAACCAGCTTCTTCCATTTCACATCTTTGACTCCAAGTCACCTGTTTTTATCTCTATACTCCAAGGCAACAACCCCTCCTTCCAGCAGCTCTCTCTGTGGTTGGCTGTCAGCAAGTTCTAAGGATGTCACTTCCTCTCTGGGCTATACATCTCTGAAGTGTATATAGAGATGACTGACGATGCAACTCTTTAAAGCCTGGCAGAACTGCCCACTGAGTGTCCTGAAATATGAGATGTAGGGTGAGATTTTTCACAAATCCAGTCCTTTGCTCCTTTGCCCCCTATCTTCTGCTGCTGCTTTGACATCCACACAGACCAGTGAGAAACTTCTGCACAAAGGAGAAAGTCAGCAATTATCTTAATGCCCTTACTGGGGTAGTTGTTAAGCTATATGTCTTTCTCTAACAGAAAATCTGTTGCTCACAGTTCCATGCCCATAAGGAGGAGACTATGTATCAATCTTCTTTCAGAGATTGGGAATTTCATCGTTTAGCTGATGTTCATGTCCAGAGCAGAAACTCTTTCTCACTTACTCACATTCTCTAAATGCCTGATAGTAGGCATTTCTAGGCTCATTGTGACTAGCAGGGCAAATGAGGGTAGGGAACAGAAATTTGGTCCTCAAGCCTCTTGAAGTCATCCATCCCTGGTTTAAAGGTTTGTGGCACAGCTTTTCAACAGGGCCACTATTCATTTACTATACTGTATCACAATTCTGTACCCTACTTGCATATCTGCTGCTTTTATTTTCTACTGTGTACTGAGATCTAGCTCTACTGCAAAATTTTCAAGGTAACATATACTTGTTGCACTCATGCCAATGGAATAATTGTGCACATTTATGGTTTAAGAAGCAAATAGGCTTGAGTAGGTCAGAACCCATTTGAGATTTTGGTTTTCATGTCTTAACTGAGCCAGACTCTTGTCTGTTCAAATCACACTTATTTACTAGATTTTGATCCTTACATGGAGGAATGTTTCCCAGAGCTGGAGAGAGAACATATTTAAATATGTCAAATAGCTATTAGGCAGATGTGTGGAACATGCCCACACATTATATCAAACAATGCTCATTCTGAAGGCTTCCTTTTAATACGAAATCCAACTCAAGAAATCAAAACTAATAAAGCACTTACTTGAATTTTTCAAAACTTTATTCCTGCTAATAATTGATTTGTTGTGCTCAAATGCATGATAACAGATGCTTTTCATACCATATTCTTATCTTGTATTATTTGGGTGCAGATTTGACACTTGAAAATTTATGATTAAGTGTTATTTTTTCTGCAATTGTCAAGCAATGCACATAATCTGAATTACTGCAGTCGGTTATTTTAATGTTAGCTCATATTATTTGCTTTATTTTGTTGAATTGATTTATTCATGAATACATAATATATTATAATTTAAAAATTAGACCAGCAGTACTCAAGTGTCTGAATAAATCTTAAAATTATTTTGTAATCCCTTTTCATGCATTTTATAGAAGCTGTTTACTTTTTCATGTAGGTTTGCGTGTGATGCTTTTAACAGCTATAAAAGAAATGAACGTAAAGAAAGGAGCTTCCATTGTAGCAATTTTTAAATATATTCATGCCATATACAAATATGATATACAGAGAAACCGTCGCATTCTTAAAAGGACACTGGAAAAATTAATTGGAGAGAAAGTTGTGGAACAGGTCAAAGGCCATGGTCTTGCCGGCTCTTTCAAGCTAGGTAGAAACTACAAGGAGCAGAAGTTCTGTAATAGATCTAAGAAACAAGTAAGCTTACAATTTGTTTGTTTTTAAGAGAAAAAGCAATTTAGGCTTTCATTTTTAGACATGTTCCACATTTGGGCTGTTGTGGGGGTAGGATAAAAGATGAGGACAGAGCCACTGACTGATGGAAGGTGGTGTGGTAGAATTCATGTGGGCATAACTGTTTGGAAAATTTTTGTGGGATTTCCCTCTGTTTGCTTTTCACATGTACTTTTTAATGGTTCTAGTCCCAAAGTTAGCCTATACAATAATATTGGAATTGCAGAGCTGAAAGGGACCCTGTGGATTATCAAGTCCAGCCTATCAAGGAGGCACCGTGGGGAATCAAACTCCCACCCTCTGGTAGATACCTAAACCACTGAGCTATCCAGAGTTGTAATAAGATGCTTCATAACCATTCCTTGATCTTTACATGGATTGAAATAATTGCATTCTAAACCATTTAGGCAACACAAAATTGGGTATAAGCTTTATTGGCTGAGAGTGGGTGAATCACCTACTGTGGGAAACAGATTTCTGAGGTATAATGCTACTTCAATGTTCAATGATTCATAAGACTTGCAGTTTAATCCCAGTGAATGTTTTTGCTGTTAGTCTCTGGTGCTAAATAATATAAAATAAGGCCTGGAAATTTATGTTCAGCATGTATAACATTTTTTAGAACAATTTAAGTATTTTTGTTTTCACAGATCTTTAAAAAGTGGAACTGCAAAGTATTCTCAGTACCTTGATGTTGTATATTTCAGTCAGTTACTTTTTGCTAAGTCTGAACTTAGCAAAGGTTACAGTCGAGGGGTTTGTGCTCTGCATACAATGTGTGTGCTGGGACTTTTCCAACTGTTTCTCTTGTGCCTTCTCTGAATTTGAGGGACAGGGTCGATAATTTTGTCTGCGTTGTTTGTATCTGAAGGAAAGAAAGCAGAAGTAAATTCAGTTTATTTTGGTTTTTATAGAAAATAAAAACATCAGATAAAGTTGAGAAAAAAACTTTACCACATCGTACGGATGAAACCAAAGAACTGGAAGAAAAAGACACAAGCCCTGCAGATAATTTTAAATTACCTCTTGCAGTAAATATCATGGCAGAAGAGCATGATTACTGTACAACAAGCAAAGACAATAGAGAGTCAGAACATGATCCTAAGAGGTGGAAAATGGAGGAAGATTCTCAGCGTGGACCTGCCAACTTGCAAGATGACGTACTTCTTTCCAAAGATGAAACACGTTCCGGTACTGACATTCTTAAAAGTACACATGAGGCTGAAGAGCAACAGAATGTCTTAGAAGCCCATTCTCCATCCTCTCAGGAACATGCTGACATTTTTATACAACACCCCGGATCCATTTTTCCATTCAACACCTCTGATTATCGCTTTGAGTGTATCTGTGGTGAACTTGGCTTGGTTGACTATAAAGCACGTGTGCAGTGCCTGAACTGCCACCTGTGGCAGCATGCGGCATGTGTGAACTACAAGGAAGAAAACCTTACGGTCAAACCTTTTTACTGTCCCCATTGCCTTGTAGCAATGAAACCAGTTCCCACGGGAGCAACTCTGATTATTTCTCCAAGTTCTATTTGCCACCAGTGGGTTGATGAGATTAACAGGCATGTGAGATCATCTTCTCTTCGAGTACTGGTAAGAAGAGACTTCACAAAAAATTAGGCAAGGGAAGTGTATTATGAGGCATTCTGTACAGGCAGTGACAGGTATCTAAGAAAAGCAGCTTTGGAAGTAGTTGAAGTGAGATTATACAGTATGGCTTTGCAAGTCCTATCTTGCATAAGTAGCAATAAAAGTCAAAACCATGGTAAAATGTATCTTATTACTGTACTTAAGAATTTTTAAAGCAGCCATTGAAAAATATCAGGTGGTTAGGCACTATTGGTAAATTGAAAATGAAGTCCTGGTTGTAATATTTCAAAATGAAAAGGTGATTTAAGTTTTTCAGACTTAGTAGCATTTTTCCCTATTTACCCCGTATTTTTCGCTCCATAAGACGCACCTTTCCATAAGACGCACCAATTTTTTAGGAGAAGAAAACAGGAAAATATAATCTGTTTTCTTTGCTCCATAAGACGCACAGACTTTCCACCCCCCTGTTTTGTGGGAAAAAGTGCATCTTATTTTGCGAAAAATACGGTAAGTCAGGCAAATGCAGAGGTGTCATGATAGCTGAGCAGTGAACCTATACCTTTGTTAGGTTCCCTGCTGAATAGGGCATTAATGGTATTTTCATTCATCATAACTGTGGTCCACTACTGCAGAGGTGGATATAATAACGATCCAGCCCCTTGGGGCTGGACCATCCACTCACCTTCCACTGTTGTAGTGAGCTCCGCGCTCACTTCCTATCACACCAGAGCTCACAGTCAGCTAGCCACTCCTGGCAGAAGGCGGGAGGACAAGCCTTGCTGCAAGGTTGAAGAGTGGCTTGCAGACTGCGAGCTCCGGAGTGATAAGAACGGAGCACAGAGCTTGTGTCAACAGCGGAAAGTGAGTGGATTATCTGCCCCCATGGGGCTGGACCCTCGTTCTGTCCACCTGTGCAGGGGCATTCGTATATGAATACCCCCATCTCTAGTCATAACATATTCAGCCATTTGTAAGATGTTTTTCTTTCATAAATCAGTTCTGTCCTCCATATCGTTTAAATTTTCATTACAGATTGCATGCAGAATAATATATTTAAATTAATTGTCTTCAATTTGTTCCTTGCAAATTTTGTTTCTTAAAGTTATTGATTAAGGACATATTTTCTGTCATAATAATCAAGAACAAAGAAGAGCACAATGTGAGGAACTATGTGAAGCTGTCACCGTAGCCCTAATATCCAGTTGTAAGAAAAGAAATGCTCAGCTTCTCAACGGATTGTCTCCTTTACCCTTAGGAAGCCTCTGACTCTCCGTGCTTCCTCTCACATGTTTTGTGCACTAATCTGTGCAGGTTTATCAAGGAGTGAAGAAGCATGGTTTCTTGCAGCCTCACATCTTGGCCGAGCAGGAAGTAGTGATCACAACCTATGATGTCCTTCGTAGTGAACTAAACTATGTGGACATTCCTCATAGCAATAGTGAAGATGGACGCCGTTTCAGGAAACAAAAGCGTTATATGGCTATCCCAAGCCCCTTGGTAGCTGTGGAATGGTGGCGAATTTGCCTGGATGAAGCCCAGATGGTTGAATGCACTACTGCAAAGGTGAGGGAATATCTCTGGGATAAGTACTAAATGTAAAAACAAATTAGAAGAAACTAGATTTATATGCTTTAACACTGGGTGTAAATTTGCCCTTCTAGTTCATCCTTCTGAAGTGACTAGTGATCTGTTTTCCCTTGGAGGTATTTGCTACTAAATGTTTCCCCTGCTGGAGGTTTGGCTGGCTATGAAGCGGAGTCCTTTTAAAAAATATCACTTAACATAATGTATTCTGACAGTTTAAAGAACTAGGTCATCATGTCTTTTACACTACTACATGGTTCAAAGTGAGACTTTAGTCAGTTTTAATGTCTGTCATAAAGAAGCACAGTGTCTGCCCTTGGGCTTACAAATTATAAAACAGTTTCATTGAATTTTTCAAAAGTTTAATTGGGGTCATTTAAGTAGCTTGCAGAGGAAGTGGGCTATCTGTATTGGCTACCAAATATTTTAAAGGCAGGAGGAAAATGTTCAGTGTACGTTATCAGAGTTGTTATGTCAATTATTTTATTAAAATATGTTACTCTGGTTGCCACTGTGTGATTAATACACTCAAATTTGATGTAAATCTGTGCAGATTCTTAGTTCAATTCCAATCATTAAAATCTGAGTTTGTAGGAAAATACTGCAAAAGTTTTGGAGGAACTCTATACCATGTGTGCAGTTACAGTGGTGCCTCGCTTGATGAGAATAATTTGTTCTGTTGAAATCACTGTTAAGCGAAATCTTGGTCAAGTGAAACGAAAAAGCCCATTGAAATGCGTTCCAATAGGCTAACTACCTCATCGTCCAGTGAAGATCCTCCATAGAGGCGGCCATTTTCGGTGCCTGTAAAGCATCTTAAAACACAGCGGGGAGCCATTTTAGAGCCGCCGATCAGCTGTTTAAAAATCGTCATCTAGCGAAAAATCGGTTCCCGAAGCAGGGAATCGATCATCGTCAAGCAAAATTTTCCTATCTAAACATTGTTTTGCGATCGCAAAAGTGATCGCAAATACTTCATCATCAAGCGGTTTTGTCGTTTAACGAGGTAATCGTTAAGCGAGGCACCACTGTAGATGAAAACTTAGAAAATTCCAGGAAAATAATTCCAGGGAATTCTCGAATTGGGGGAAAACATTGCTGAGAGATAGGAGAAATGGCTGAGAAATAGACGAGGTAATCGTTAAGCGAGACACTACTGTAGATAAAAACTTAGAAAATTCCAGGAAAATAACTCCAGGGAATTCTTGAATTGGGGGAAAACATTACTGAGAGATAGGAGAAATGGCTGAGAAATAGTAGAGGCAGGTTTGCAGTAGTCTGGAATATACAAGCCTGACAAAACAATGTGGTGATGTGTGAAGTTTTTGAAAGACTATGGAAAGTTGGAAGGTACCAAAAACCTTGGTTGAGAAGATAGAAAGTAGGAAGAAACTAATGAAATGTGTGAGGTTGTTGAAAGATGTTGGTAAAATGAAGACTGAAAAAGTTATGTCCTTGATCTGGAAGTTGAGTCATTTATTTATTTATTTATTGAATTTATACCCCACCCATCTAGTCAAATTGATGGGTGTTGCCATCTAGTCGTGGCAACTGGACTTCTTTCTTGTTAGGCTGAAATGTTTCACTACTCATCTAAGTAACTTCTTCAATCTGAGGAGAGTTGGTAGGAGATCCCTGATATATCCTCAACATTGGTTTTACTTTCCCCTGGTCTGAATAGGCTTCTTAGAAGGACAAAGGATGGGGAGTGAGGGATAATCCCACTTCTTCAGTCCTTCTCCACCCATTGTCATGGGACCTTAACAGTGGTCTTTCTGATGTGTGTGGTCCTAATCTTTTGGGGAATGGATGAAAGGGCAGCATGATAAATAAGAGACAGATTATACCTAAGGCCTCCACCCCTGTTCAGTGAGGGAATGGTTTGTTTGTTTTTGTGGGTTTTTTTGTTTTTTGTGGGGGGTTTTGCACATGTATGGCCTCCTTGACCCCTTTCTCAGGTTTGTTTTTGTGGGTTTTTTTGTGGAGTTCTTTGCACACGTATGGCCTCCTTGACCCCTTTCTCAAAGCACCTATCTTCTCGGTTTAAAATGAGTATATTTTGGTCCTCAAATGAGTGTCCTTTGTCCTTCAAATGAAGAAACACTGCTGATTGAGGTCCCTGAGCCATTGCCCCTCCTGTGCTGGGCCATTCTCCTGTTTAGTGGCTGTTTGGTTTCTCCAATGTAGAGCTTTCAGATAGCCTCACCTGGATGATTGAGAACCTTCACAGCTACGTATATTCTGTCCTTGATGTTTCAGTAAATGGGTTTTAAGTAGGAAGTATATTTGAAAAGCATGAAAGTGGTGGTTGTTTGACTCTAGTATAGCAATTCCATTTATTCTAAGTAAGTTGAGTTACATGTAAGTTATTCATTCCTTTGATTTTTCAATTTTGCAGTCTATTTTTTTTTTTTAGGCTGCAGAAATGGCTCTCCGCTTGAGTGGAATCAATCGCTGGTGTGTAAGTGGCACACCAGTGCAGCGAGGATTGGAAGGTGAATGATATGGCTAATCTGTTCTTTGCGTAAATGTATGTATTGTATAGTAATTTTGAGGAACATGTTCTTTCTGTCCCTTGTACATGAGCAGCATGTTTATTTATTAAGAATATTTTCATTCTGTTTATCCAGTAGAATATTGCTCAGGGGAGCTAGCACTTAAAAGAATCAAAATATGACATTAAAAATACACACCAAGAAAGCAGAACACAAAACAAAGAGTACACTACTCATACACACATAACAGAAAGCATCAAATCAAGATTGCTAAACTGGAAAGCTGAAATTCAGCTGAAGAAGATTTTCTAAATGTAAGATTGGCGCTTGGATGCAAATCTTGATGCAAGACGCGGTTTTATTTGAGCAAAGTCCTTCAGATGCCTTGTCCTAGGCTGTTGAGGCTGGCTTAGTGGATAAGGGGAGCATTGAACACCCTGGAAGAGGGGTAAAATTCCACCTTGCCTCATAGTTGGAAGGTCTTTACCAAATAAGTCCTCCTTGGACTCCACGGTACTGGACATTTACAGGGCAGTGTACAATATTCCAGCTGTATGTAACCTTGGTGGTGGCCTCTTGCCTCTAGGGCAGTGGTCCCCAACCTTGGGCCTCCAGATGTTCTTGGACTACAACTCCCAGAAGCTTTCACCACCAACTCTGCTGGCCAGGATTTCTGGGAGCTGAAGTCCAAGAACATCTGGAGGCCCAAGGTTGGGGACCACTGCTCTAGGGTACCTGGAAGAGTTAGATTATCCAGATCTATTTCAGTCAGATGTTAAAACTGGTTATGGGTTATTCCCTATACTGTTTAGCATCTACATGAAACTGCTGGGAGAGGTTATTTGGAGTTTTGGGGTGGCGGATGACACTCTACTCTTTCTCTGCTTTCCATCCGAGTCCAAGGAAGCTGTCTCTGTCCTGAGCCAGTGCTTGGGGTTGATAACGGATGGAATGAGAGTGAACAAACTGAAGTTTAACCCAGGCAAGATAAAGTTGCTACTAGTCAGTGAAAAGGCAGACCAGGGACTAAGGATTGTGCTGGAAGGGGTTACACACACCCTGAAAATTCAAGTGGATAACTTAATTCTTCTCTGACCATGCCTATGTCTTGGGAGTGGCCAGGAGTGCATATGCACAATTAAAACTAGTATGCCAGTTACACCCATTTCGTGAGAAGCCTGAGTTGGCTACAGTGATGCATGCCTTGATCACCTCCTGTTTGGATTACTGCTATACGATCTACATGATTCAGAAATGTCACTGGCGCAATATGCTGCAGCCAGAATGTTGCCTGAGGCTGGTTATGAGGACTGTTTACCTCCTGTTTGGATTAGTGCTGTACGATCTACATGATTCAGAAATGTCAAGTGGTGCAATATGCTGCAGCCAGACTGTTGCCTGAGGCTGGTTATGAGGACTGTTCACCCTGTTACAACAGCTTCACTGGCTGCAGATTCATTTCTGTGCCCTATTTAAAATGCTGGTTGTGACTTCTATGGCTCAGGTCCAGGCTGTCTTAAAGACTGTATTGGCCTGTACAAACTTTTAAGTATTAAGACCCTAAGGGGAGTACCTTCTCTCAGCCTCACCACCTTCAGAAGCACATGTATGACAACTTCAGAGGGAGCTATTTCTGTGGCTGCTCCCAGATTGTGGAACCTCCTTCCTCAGGAGATGTAGTTGGGCCTTTTCCTCCTTTTCTTCTGCCAGCAATTGAAAACATGCCTTTGCAGAGATGTTTTTGGGAAGTCAGTAGGCAATTGAGATAAGCAGATATTTTAATATCTGATTTATAGTTTTAAAATGTTTTTATACTATAGTTTTATAGCTACCCAGTGTGGTGTGGTGGCTAGAGTGATGGACTAGGACTCTGGAGACTACACATCAAATCTCTACTTGGCCATGGAGGCTCACTGGGGGTTGAAATTGGTAAAAACCACTCTTTAAATATCTCACTTACCTGGAAACCCCTACTAGGGTCACTATAAGTCAGTTCCAACATGATGGCACATAACAACAGCATAGCTTTATATTTTAATCCATTTGTTTTAATTAATTGTTGGTTTCACATTTTTATACTTCCTGAAGTCCACACTAGGGGAGAAAGCTGGAATAAAAATTAAATGACTAAACAAATGAAGAAATAACAGTTTTAAAGTTATATTTAAAAGCTGTGGAGTGCCCTAGACTTTGAAAAATACAACCGCTAGGAGAATTTCTTGTGAGCTTTGTGTGTTATGTACAAGGGATTGTGCCAGTCATCTTAATCTTTATGTGAGATCTGACCATAGACACCCCACTCAAGTTTCATCCCTTAAAATAAACCCAGCTTGAAACAATTCAACTAGTCAGAATAAGAAGGTAGATTTGATTGTGGAATAGAAGCACTTTTTATTTAAAATACTTCTTGCATGATATTAAAACTTTTGGTAAAATATGCTCTTCTTCTATCACAGACTTATATGGATTAGTACTTTTCCTCGGAGCTGATCCTTACTGGGTCAGATATTGGTGGGATCAGCTTCTCTATCGACCATACTGCAGGAAAAACACACAACCTCTCTATGACTTCATAGCCAAGATAATGTGGAGGTCAGCAAAGAAGGACGTGATTGACCAAGTAAACATCTAAATTCTAAGATTTTGTTTACCGCCAGTATTTTTAAACCAAAAACTTCCATAATTCATTTCTTGTGCCATTTATTATTAGATCCAGATCCCAGCTCAGACCGAAGATGTACACTGGCTTCATTTTTCTCCTGTGGAGAGACACTTTTATCATCGGCAGCATGAAGTGTGCTGCCAGGATGCTCTAGCAAAACTCAGGAAGATTTCCGATTGGTCCCTGAAGCTTAGCAGCTTGGATAGGAGGACAGTGACTTCCATTTTGTACCCTTTGTTGCGCTTGAGGCAGGCCTGCTGTCACCCACAAGCTGTTCGTGGAGAATTCTTGCCCTTACAGAAAAGGTTAATTTAGAATCTGGACACTTCACATAAATACTGATATGTATCCATTCTGTATTTTTTTGCCTGTTCTGATTAGCTACTGAATAAAATTCAACAAGTTCCGTATATGAAAGAGAAATTTTCCAGCAGTTCGTTAGCATTTTGGACCATATATATTCCAAACAGTGACTTTTGAAGTAGTGTAGTATTATGGTCCTGCACATAATAGTTGTATTTATAATAGTATTTGAAGGCACCTATAATCTCAGATATTATGTATTTGTATGAAAACAGGTGATATATGCCACAAGGTTCTTGGCATTTCATCTTACTGAATATTAAGGATACTTTTTATTGGAGTTCATGCATCTGGTAATACAGAACTCTAAAACATCAATCTGTGCTTAAATCAATATTATAGTCAAACATGTCAGTGGAACTCTCCTGCTCTGGGGGGCATTAATGGTTAAAAAGAAATTGCCACCAGATTTCTGCTGCCTGGATGGGGACTGCCAGCAGCAACCTGGCAGCGATTTTTAACTCTTAAAGGCTTCCCCACCCCCAGGTCTTGAGGCTCCCAAAGGCTTCCCCAAGGCAAAAGGAAACCTCAGAATGTGAAAGGATGGAGGGACAGGAAGCTTTTCAATTCATTTATATTAATTATTTCCAGCACCTGGATCTGGCTTAAGCTGGCATAACTACACCAATAGGATTTTGATGATCAACTTTTATTTATTTGAAAAGTGATCTAAAATGAATTGCTTGGCTCAAACCTTGTTTGTGATAAAACAAAGTGGTGTTGAAATAATCTTTCACAGCACCAATAAAAGTTCAGTTAAATTTCATTTTCATCTATTGTAAGAAATAATCATATTGATTAATTTATTAATGCTTTTTAAGTCTGGAATTTAATAGGTTTGGCACGCTGCTCCTGGAAAATTTCTGGTTGAAATTTATATACATGATATTCTAGAATTATTATACAACTACACTATGTTTGAAGGAGAACATTTCCATTAAAGCTTTTCATCTTAGGATGTAAGGAGCTGTAATTTCAGGAAATATATCAGTGAGACAGAATAGCTTTAGTCTTAAAGCAACTATTTATCAATCTAAGCAGCCTGTAGATTTTTGTAGAATATTTGTGGCTTGACGTGTACAACATAGCAACAACTGTGGTCATAGAAAATAAGCAGTTCATATAAAAAGCATCACCAAAAACAATGCAGTCTTTTTCCTTCTGAAGGCAATGATCCAAATTTAGAGTGGGAAGATGAAGATGGTATCTGTGTATATACCAGAAGTTCTAAACAGTACAAGCACAAGATTTGAAAATGGGCGCCTATCATTATTATCAAATCTTTATCTGATTATCAAGCTAGTCTATTATTGTTTTTGTATCCTGTGTTCTGTGTAACTTTAGAGTAGAATAGATGAGGTTCACATGGTGTTCCTATCCAGGTAATGTCAAGCCCTAAATTTCTTTAGCGCTCATGCTACATCACACCTTTTGTCTGGGTCTTCTCCTAAATATATTCACGGCTGGATAGCTCAGTGGTTTAAATATCTAGCTGTGGAGGCAGAGATTGGGAGTTCTATTCTCCACGGTGCCTCCTTTGACAGGGTTGGACATGATGCGCTATAGGGTCCTTTCCAGCTCTGCAGTTCTAAGGTTAATATATATATATATATTAAAAATCACAAATTGACTACTAATTGACTACTACAGCCCAGAGACCTTTGGGTATTGTGGGCGGCATATAAATTAAATAAATAAATGCTCTTTACAAGTTGAATAAAGCTGTGAATTTTGATCCACTGATGTTCTGCCATGCCGTATTATGCTTCTCTATGCTAGAATAACTGATATTTATATTAGTCATGACACTTTCCTCTCCTTTGAGACAGTCTTTGGAGTTTCCTACTACTATTCTGATCCTTACATATAATTGACTGCAGGGCCTCTGACCAGGATTCTAAACCTAAGCTGGTTTGTATAGTAACTGGGAATAGTACATAATGTTAAATGACAAGCAGTTGAGCAGCAACAAACTGCAGCTATACACCACTATCTTTTCCATTTCTCCTTGCCATATAAAGTATGTTCTTGAAGAGGTTAAACTTGTGCTAATATACATTGTATGCCTGTGACTCATGTGTGGATCTTTCTTCTAGCACAATGACTATGGAAGAACTTCTGACATCACTCCAGAAAAAATGTCGGACAGAATGTGAGGAGGTCCATAGACAACTGGTGTGTGCTCTGAATGGGTTGGCTGGTATTCATATCATTAAAGGTAAGATGAACTGAAAATAATGAGATGTACTGTATTTTTCGCTCCATAAGACGCACCTTTCCATAAGACGCCCCAATTTTTTAGGAGAAGAAAACAGGAAAATATGATCTGTTTTCTCCGCTCCATAAGACGCACAGACTTTCCACCCCACTGTTTTGTGGGGGAAAAGTGCGTCTTATGGTGCAAAAAATACAGTAATTATTTTGAGCTTCATGGACTTTTTGAACATGAATTGTAAATTATTGTGTGCTTTTTTTCTTTTAAGTAGACTGACCTAGCTAGGTGATATGTAGATTCCTCCAGGCAAGCATTAGTAACAGACTGGATACAGTTACAGTGGTGCCCCGCATAGCAACGTTAATCCGTTCCAGGAAAAACGTCGCTATCCGGAAACATTGCTAAGCAGAACGGAAAACCCCATAGGAACGCATTAAAATCCGTTTAATACATTCTTATGGGGGGGTAAACTCACCGCTAAGTGGGAATCCTCCATAGGGCCACCATTTTCGCCGCCTCGGTAAGCGATGAATAGGAGCGAAAACTCTGTGGGCCGCCATTTTCTTCATTCGGCGGCCATTTTGGCTATCCGGAAACATTGCTAAGCAGAACGGAAAACCCCATAGGAACGCATTAAAATCCGTTTAATACATTCTTATGGGGGGGTAAACTCACCGCTAAGTGGGAATCCTCCATAGGGCCACCATTTTCGCCGCCTCGGTAAGCGATGAATAGGAGCGAAAACTCTGTGGGCCGCCATTTTCTTCATTCGGCGGCCATTTTGGAACCGCCAATGTCGCAGTGCGATCGTTTAGAGAGCATGGTAGCTGCTTTGCCAATGCGTTTATCCAGCTCGACATCTAGAGAGAGTGTGTCAGAGATTGTTCAGCCAAGGTACACAAAGTCATGAATAACTTCCAGTTCTTGTGTGGAGTTCTCAGAGAGGACTGTGGGTTGTTTAAAATAAGGATGGACCAATATGTCACCTATGGACGGCATGCAATTTCCCTAAGCCCTTTTGAGACCCTCCCAGTACACCTAGTGCCCCCATTATCCTCTGCACCCCAATTTTCAACTCCCCCATGTGTTCTCAAAAAAGCAGGGGGCAATTCTGCCATCTTTTGAGGTCCTACAGCATCTCTATTACTGTAGCCTGGGCAAATATCTCACTCTTAAATCTTCCTCTGCTGGTCTAGGTAAATGGTGGACAGGTAAGAGAGGATTGAAAATGCTTCAAGGTCTCCATGACAATTGCCAGTTCTTGTGTGTCTTGTCTCAGAATACTCTTACTGACCGTGCTTTCTGTTTCTAACGGAGTGCCTTTGTCGAATGAAAATTCACAATAGTAGAATTGTTTTTTAGCTTCATTTTTACAAGATTTCTGAAATGGAGAATTTCCGTTTTCACAAAACATTCAAAATCAGAATTCATTTTGCAGTACTAAAGAAAGTCTTAATATTCCCTATAGAAAACTATACATACTAAAATAATTCAACATTTCAGACATTGTATCACTGGAATTACTATCTGAAATATTTTTCAGGTGAATATGCATTGGCAGCAGATATGTATAGAGAGGTTTTGCGTTCCTCTGAGGAGCACAAAGAGAAGCTCAAAACAGATTCATTGCAAGTATGTATTTAAATTCTAAAACCCCCTTTTAAACAATTCCCTAAATTTACATAAGCCAGAACAGTACTGATCGCTTGTTCAGTGACAAGTATGAAAACACTTGTCACCAGGTGTGTATTTTTAATATTTTTGAAATATCTTGATTTGATTTAGTATGATCTACACAGGTTCCCCATAATTTTTATTTGTGTGACAAATGGTTTGAAATATACATGCAGAGGACAAAATGCTATAGGTAACATCCATCTAGGAAACAGTGCATTCCAGTATAACTGAGAAGGGGACAATCATTTCTCCCTAATATATCCCAGTAACTACTTATGGAGGGCTACAGTGGGGAGAGAAGACAAAGAGCATTTTATCAGCAAAAAGTTGGATTTAGCTTGCAGTTAAATTTGTGGATGTGCAGGTTGTAGGTGAGGATTGTGCTCCTACCTATGTGTATTTTCTAATTTTGATTTAGATAAAGGGATTTGAATAATTTTTACTCTAGGAATGGTAATATTTAAACATAAATGATTATATACATGCATTATGTAAAGCCCATTAATTTATTGTATCAAGTTAGTAATATAATCAGCAATCTGAGACTTTCAACTGGTAGTGAATTAAAAAAATTATCCATCTGTGCAGGATACTTCTGAAGGGATTCCACATAGAGTCTAATAGCCGTGGGTGAAATTTAGTGTCTACCCACGCAATAGGACTTTCAGTTCTTCTCTTCCCCTGTGATCCCCCACCCTTTGGAGCAGAGCTGTATGATACTTGAAAGGGGTGAAATGGTAACCACCCTGTCCTTGCTCTCTTCACCAGAAACTGTTTTTCCTCCTTCTAAAAATATATGTATGTAGAAAACAAATATTAATCTGGGCACATTAGTATTTGTGCCACATGAGTCCTCTGAAAGCACCTCATGTGGTAACTCTGGTGTAGTCCATTACGTATAGACCTGTGTCCAGTTGGTGGACATATTTATATAATTTTGTGTGACAGTGAAAATCCAGTCTCCTGTAATCTAAACATGACTATTGAATATTTTACATTGAATATTCTAAGAATATAGTCTTGTCTAAACTAAGTTTGGTCCTTTTTCCAGCTCTTTGTTAATAATTATTGTAGCCTTGCAAACCAGGGTTGAGGGGACATTGCCAGTGTTTTCTCTTTTCTCTCAGCCCTCATATGACTGTTCGTACTTTCTGAGTAGATGGGAAACAGTGTCCACAGCACACTTAAGTGCTGTAGCTGTTTAATTGCCTCTTTGCATTCCATCTTTGTTCAAAGGCACTGAGAGTGAATGGAAGCTTCCCCACAGAGGCCATGGGGATGTGCTTGGTACTAGTTCTTAATAGTTCACGGTAATTAGATGAAGGAACACCTTGTTGCAAGGCTGAGCTGCAGTTTTGTTTCTGTATTTCACTGAACCTGAAATTTTAATTTACTATACTTTGCATGTAGTTTCTTCCTCGTACTTTGTTTTCTGTTCTTAGTTGGGAAAACATTTCATTCTAGTCACAGTCCCATAAACTTCAGATATCGTTAGAAAGTGTCTCCTCCCCCCCCCCGGGAAAACAACTCATTCTAGTCACAGTCCCATAAGCTTCAGATATTGTTAGAAAGTGTCTCCTCCCCCCCCACCCCCGGTGGTAATGTTGTATGTTTCCTGGGGCATTCTGCTGTTTATTATTTACCGTTCTCACAGTATACTGAAGTATGACTACATTATTGCTTTTATGTATTACTGAATAGAGACTTCATTCTACGCACAACTTGAACTCATTCTAGTCACAGTCCCATAAGCTTCAGATATTGTTAGAAAGTGTCTCCTCCCCCCCCACCCCCGGTGGTAATGTTGTATGTTTCCTGGGGCATTCTGCTGTTTATTATTTACCGTTCTCACAGTATACTGAAGTATGACTACATTATTGCTTTTATGTATTACTGAATAGAGACTTCATTCTACGCACAACTTGATGGAACTACTGGCAGCGAAGCATCCTGGGATATCACCCACTTTGCGTGATGGCAGACTTCAGGAAGAGGTGATTGTTCCCTGTGTTGAATTTAATGTCCATTGAGGAATACTTAATACAAAATAACTAAATAAAAGAGAATAATTTGTCCCGGAAGAACATTCTGGTTTTTGACAAAAATCCTTACAGGTCAGGAGGAAAGCAGTGATATGTCTTGATTCAGCTGCCTTCCTTTTTTTGACCAAGTGTGACTTGTGATGCTTTCTCATAGTCACAGTTTGCAGTAGATAACAAGCTGCAGTGATAAAAGCTGAACTTGTTAAATTAGACTATAATGTTTAGCTTGTTATAGTTCTAGAAGTGTGAATCTGTAATGAAGTAAAGGGCAAACAGAGGGAGGCTGATCCATCCTGTATCCTTTAGGAGACATTCAAACCCACTCCCTCCACAGGTCCATGTCATATACAGTGGTGCCACGCTTGACGATTACCTCGTTAGACTAGGAAATCGCTTAATGATGAAGTTTTTGCTATTGCTTTTGCAATCACAAAACAATGTTTTAATAGGGAAAAATCGCTTCACGATGATCAGATCCCTGCTACGGGAACTGATTTTTCGCTTAACGGCGATCAAAAGAGCTGATCATTGGGCTTTCAAAATGGCCACCTGCTGTGTAGAATGGCTCCCTGCTGTATTTTAGGACGGATTGCTCGCTTTACAGGTACTGGAAAATGGCCGCCCTATGGAGGATCTTCGCTGGACACTGAGGTATTTCGCCCATTGGAACGCATTGAACCGGTTTTCAGTGCATTTCAATGGGATTTTTACTTTCGCTTGACAACGATTTCATTCTACAGCAATTTTGCTGGAACGGATTATCCTCGTCAAGTGAGGCACCACTGTATCTCATATTTCCAGATCACCATTTAAAAACCAAAATGTTCCCACAAATGGTGGGCAGCACAAAGAGCTCCAACAAGGAGGACTGTGTAGCAGCCTAAAATATTTAAAAACAAAAATGTTCCCACAAAAGGTGGGCAGCACAAAGAGCTCCGACAAGGAGGACTGTGTAGCAGCCTAAAATATGGTGTCTCTCAACTCAAAGCCTGTATAGGAATCATCCTTCCACAATCACATACACACCGTGTCCTAGTAGTACACTAATATTTCAGTAAAGTTTAATAAACTAAGTAGTGTGAGCGATCAAAGAAAAAACAATATTCCAGAACGCAGTAAAGTTGTCTAAAAAGTGAGGCAAGTCTTTTTCTTTACTGACATCAGAGAAATGACTACCAGAGCAGTTATAAGTCCGAGCCATCCATAGTGGCGAAATTGTCATGGGGGAGATCTGGCTTTATTGTGGGGTTCAGCTGTCTCTCACCTTCTGCTGTGGCACCAGTAGCTCTGTGTACCTTATTACTCAGTTTGCCTTTCGCTTTATTCAAATAATTTACCATCCTTTTAATACTACAAATGCTGCATTGTATGTGAATGATTCACTGTGATATTGCTTTGTCCCAGGATGAAAGGGGCTCCTTGCTCCATTCTGTAGTCACTCGAGAATCACACGAGCACTCCCAGTTTGGTCTGTTTTAGTACTTGGTTCAAAAGCAGTACACATCCTTAGCAGCCTAGTAGTTATTCTTGGAAGAACAGTTAATGCTCTTCTCTTTCCCAGACATCTACTGAATTGTGCTTAGCTGTTAATTCTTCACACTAAGGTTGTGTAGGTGGAACAGGTTGAAGCTTGAGTCAGACAGACACTTAAAGACTAAATTGATGTAACAAGGCAGGAGAGTCTAGTCTGTGGCAGTAAAGACAGTAAAGTGGGAACTTATGTCACCTGAAAGGTTTACATTTTACTTCGTAAAAGTTTATATAGACTTAACCGTGCTCCTTTAGATATTGACTCTTTGTAAGTTTTTCTGGAGCATAGAATGAGAATTGAGACCAATGTCTCTGGTGTACATTAAATTAAAATTAAATAAGAATTAAGGCAAATCATAGGAAGTCACCTGTGTTATATATCTCATGCAAGTGCAGTGATTGCATGCACTCTGGAGGCAGATGGGTTCTAGACTACTTCACCAATCATGCTCACACAGGTTGATTGCTGATAGAGTGGGGGTGGGAGTGGGGTGGCTTTAAGCTCTAGCAAGTTGTCTTCTACATTTTTTTATTCTAGTAACAGTTGCTGCAGTAACTGTTCAGGTTATACAAGACAGTATTTCATTTTGTTCATACCATTAAAACCACTGATGCTTACTTTTTGCTGGCACTAATAATGTGCGAGATACTGGCTGAAATCCTGTTGCTAGAACTTATGCTGGTACGGCTGATGAAATTATGATTTTAGGGGGAATTAAACATTTCTGATTCCCCTCTTCTCCCAAATGTCCTGACACTCCCTTGGGATCCCCTTCATTTCGTAAAGCTGTTGGAGGCCTTAGGACAGTGGGGAGGTTTTTAATTTCTGAAAATCAGCATTGCTAGAATGATTTTTCGCCTAATAGCAATTTTGGAAAGTTAAAGACACACATCCCAACAGCTTCCTACGATGAAGGAGATCACAAGGGAGCCTCTGTACATTTGAGGTGTGTGTAAATTGTAATTTATGAAAAATTGTTGTATTTGTGAAAAATTGTTGCAGCTTTATGCAGCGCAAATTACAGGACTTATATGGCCCTCTTGCGGGGGAGGGGTTCCCTGTTGAAAGATGAAATGGACAACCCAAGGGAAAACACATATCTAAGCATTTATCCCTTGCCCTTCTCATCCTGCAAAGGTCATGGTTTGTTTTAATCCAGAGTTTCTTACTGTATTTGATTCAGGAAACTCTGGCTTAGAGCCAGGTAACAGAACAGATGTAAAAAGCAGGATGTGACTCTGACTTATTTTCCAGGTTTGTCAACTTCCACAAAGCCGTTAATATATAGTGGGGAACTGTGATTTAATACAAACCAGGATTTTCCTGCTGAAGCTGATGAATAATGGGTATGGTGGGGTACAATACTTGGCCCTGAGGGTTGTTAGCTGCTTCATAAGCTGTTTTATGAAGCTTCAGGTGATCATCTGGATGGGGCCAATGTGCTATAGCATTTCTTAAAACAGGTATGGAATTTTTGGGCCTCCAGATGTTTTGGACTATTACGCCCACAATCCCCTACCAATGGCCATGCTGGGTGAGAATGCAGAGCGGATTGTCTTGACAGTCAAGACACTCCCGATCTTGTTCTAAAATCACAGTTTAATAACAACTGCAGTGACTTGCAGTTCTTTTTTTTAAGTAATGTATATATGACGTCCCCAGAAAAAGGGAATGGTAAACCACTTCTGAGTACTCTCGACCTAGAAAACCCTGTGGAGGATCAACAGAATTAACTTGACAGCACACAATTATTATCAAAGAATACCATAGCTGCATACAACATAGAAATTAAAATGTAAAATGGAAATAAATCATTGCATGACGTTATTCGTACTTTACTGTCAGGAGACTTTCTAGTCAGTGAAAAGTTACTAACTCATTCATCATCTAAATGCAGTGTCAGCAACTCCGACAACATTATATGAGTAAATCAAATGCAGAAGTTGCTGAAGCCCAGCAGGCACTGCAGCCACTTGTACAGACCATCCATGAACTCCAGAGGAAAGTAAGTTTCTGCTGACAAATTTCATTTATGCCTTTTTGACTGTGTACATGTATTGCTCTTTTTAGGCTTCCAGTGTCATCTTGAAAATGTGTTAAAATAAGTCTTAACATTCATGCATAAAAAGAGTTTTAGTGCAACAAACAGGATCAGAGATGGAGTTTTACAAAATTGGCACTCTGGCAGAAATCCTGTTACTTAATGTAATTCCACTGATTTAATAGCCCTCCCTCTAGGCAACTAGACTAGGTCTGGTCACTCAGTGGGACTTACAGAGGAGCGGACTCCCCAAATCTTCACCAATTCAGTGGCCCTACTCTAGATGTATCCTACAATCCTATGCAACAGGATTTTAGCCATTGTGTTGTTCCTTTGCAGAATTACTTTGGAAAACATGTTTGATGTTAAAATAGTTAATCCTGAATTACTGGTTCTATAGTCCTAGAACCTGCTCTGAGAATATGTACTTAAGTGCATTAAATGAATCTGGATACTTACTTGAGGAGAGGCTAGGCTGGTCACATGTCTTGATGGATTTTTAAAATTTGACTGATAAACTGCTAGAATGTATTTGGAGATGAACAATTTAATTAACTTGGGCAGGGGATTTAGCACTTCTTCACAGAAACAGCTGTTTGGTTTTTGAAGTCCAGCATGCCTTTGGTGAGAGATGGAGATTTTTTTACAACCAAGACAGATAAGGAGATAATCATTTAAATATCAGTGGACATAAGCTCTTACAGTGATAGGACTGAATTGCAGTCGGTGACAGGCTGGTAATATTGTCATTCCTGTGTTATGTTCCTTTCTGCCCTGTTCCTCAGCCTGCACAACACTGAAGTTCCCAAACACCTTAAGCCGTTGGCCTGACTTTCCATTATAGCATAAGGAAAGATGACGGCCTTTTGTGAAGTGATACAGGAGTGGGTGAGCTAGTAACCTCTTCCATTCTTTGTAGTGCACCACTAGGCCCGATTTGAGGGGTAGGGAGACAGGAGCTGCTGTAATCTGTAGGATTTTGGCTTCCTGATTAGAGACCAGCTTCTGCATTTGGTCACCTTGGTGCCAGCCAGGAGAAATAAGGTTGGGTTTTTGCTGACTCAGCCAAATGTTGCATAACAAGCCCCCTGCCCGAGCTGACAAATGTGGTCTGGATCTGGTATCAAGGATTTTGATGCTTATGCAATAGTCATTGGGTCCAACTCAGGATTTCACGACTGTCCCGATGACCCTGATTTTGTTTAAATTATACCTGAAATGGAGCAGAAGGACACACAGTGCAGCAAAGTATGTGTTTCAAGCCATAATTTGATCTCTTAATTAGCTAACATAGTTTTCTGAAGAGTTTGCTACTAATCAGAAACGACAGACTATGGCCCAGGAAAAAAAGATATAGGACACATTTATTTATAGACACATCTTCTTTCCTACAAACAGATACGTTCCAGTTCCCCTTGGTGGTTGGATGTGATCCAGTCAGCAATACAGTATGCCATTGATGAGGAGCTTGTTCAGAGAGTGCAAAATGATCTAAGCAGCAACTACAAGCAGCAAACAAACAAGCTCTCCATGGCAGACAAGTAAGTCAGGACCTACTGAGTAAGGTTGCTTTCAAAGGATTGATTTTCTTAAAACCATTCAAGTTTGTGCTGGCAGATGTAACTGTGGCAGGTATGAGCTCCTGTTTTATTTTAAAAGCACATCTAGCAGAAGAACCAGAATATAAAACTTCTGACAAAATTGTCCACTTCTCAATACTGTACATTCCTTTTACTCTGTCTCCTCTATAACACATAGTTTCTTCTGTCCCAGAAGACGAATTACATTTGGGTGGGTATGTTGCAGTACTAAATTTTTTTGTTTTTTTAGGTTATAAATATTAGTTTCATTCATTGATTTAGCAGAGATTCCATTCTATTGTTGAGGAAAGAAACACAGCCTTGTGGTCCTTACACAATCCAAAAGCAAGGGCAGGTGTTATCTTTAATAGACCACTAAGAAAAAAGCTAGCTTTTGACCTACCCAAGTCTTTGTCAGATTGGGCACTTCTGCATTGTGGATGATGCAGAAAAGACATATGAAATTCCCAAATGTCATGGCAGATATCTGTGTCAGAAGAGAGTTCCCAAATGCTGGCTGCAAACACGAGTCAGGAGTGTAGAGTTTCAAATTTCACCCCTGGTGACCCCTGGTTAGAGCATCTCTCCCAGTTTGCGGGTGGCTTGGAAGGTTTAGTGAGTTGGAAGAGATGTTCTAACCAGGGGCCACCAGGGGTGGAATTTGAAACCCTACACTCCCAACTTGTGTTTGTAGCCAGTATTTTGGCACTCTCTTCTGACATAGACATCTGCCATGATTTTTTATTTTCATATTTTTTGCACCATCCACAACACAGAGGCCAGCCTGAGAAAGATTTGCATAGTTCAAAAACTAGCTTTTTAATGTTATTTTTACTCATCTTGCTTTTTATATTTTGTTTCTGTATGACTTTGTGTTTTACAGAATATATATTGTAAATGTTTTTGGAGAAACTGCACATGCATTGAGTTAGATGTATTACCTACCTCGCTCAGCAAATGCAGTTCTGCCTTCTGCTAAAAGTAATATGAAGGGGGGGAATGTGAAATGATTTCTTAAAACAATTCATTTCTGATTCTTGATTCCATAAAGTTATTCTAAACTGACATTTTGATTTTTTGCAATGTTATCTGCCTGTTTTCCGTTTTTTGGTAGATTCCGTGACTGCAGAGGCCTTCAGTACTTACTCACCACTCAAATGGAAGAAGTGAAAAAATTCCAGAAACTTGTGAGAGAGGCTGTGAAAAAACTGGAAGGCCCTCCTTCCAAAGAGGTGATTGAGGCTGCCACCATTTGCCACCTGCGACCTGTAAGACTCCCACTGAACAAGTAGGTTGAAAAATGTCTTAGACTTCCATCACTGGGATTCTTGTTAGTACCTCTTTTTGTGCCATAATGCACCCCCTATAACAGTTGTAATACAAGGACCAGAATCCTGATGGAGATCTATGCTTGCATAAAAGAAATCGCATTATATCTTGATGGCAGAGTAATAGATGTGCTGGTTGCATTTAAATGGTTTTTTGATATACATTGAATTTTTGCTATAAATCTTATTCCTGTACATGTTATTGGCTGGAAAGAACATTCTTTGAAAACACAGAATATTATGTAGTAATTTTTCATACCTTTTTCTATTCCAGCTGTGTCTTCTGTAAAGCCGATGAATTGTTCACAGAATATGAGTCAAAACTGTTTTCCCATACGTAAGTGTCCCCTCTCCACTTCTGTTTTTTTCTTTTTTCTTTATTTTGTATCTGTGATAACCAGAAAGTTCCTTTTCTAGGGCCATCATCCCTTTCAAACGGTCATATGCATAAGGGAAATAAGAGAAGAGGCTGCTGCTATGTGGTCACGTACAGTTATGTGGATATGCAGTCAGACCTCATCTCTTAACAGCAGTCACTTCCACTGTCTCCCTTGCGCAAGTAGTAACCTGATGGGATATTGGCCATGATCCATAAATCATCTGTACTAAACAGAATTTCTAAATGATGTGTTTGCCACTTCTGTCTTTACAGTTGCAGAAATCAGTTTCAAGGCCACTTTGAAAGCTGTTGTGTCTGCCACTCACTGGGTGAAACTCCAGTGCTTTATGCCCTCCAGCCCTGTATTCTTGCAGGGAGGGTTGATCTTAGTTCTGAATAAGATCCTTAGATGCCTGTTCATGTACATGTAACATCATGTAGAGCGAGAGAAAGAATGACAATCAATGCAGATAATGTCATTTGTACTTCAGATCAACACCATTATTGTCTGAAAAGATGCCTCCAGGCATTAAATGTGCTGACAATTCTCATGTGTTTATTTTATTTAAGGGTGAAAGGTCAAATGGCAATCTTTGAAGAAATGATAGAAGACGAAGAAGGCCTGGTTGATGACCGCTTGCCTACCACAAGCAGAGGCCTCTGGGCAGCAAGTGAAACTGAACGTTCCCTGAAGACCATTTTGTCCTTTGCCAAAGCTCACCGAATGGATTCCAGGACAATTGAAGAGGGCACTGTCTTCCTGGAGCTCTTTGAAGCATGGAAAAAGGAATACAAGGTACAAGAAGTGAGAAGAAATCTTGGAGATAGGTTCAGCACATAAAGAACATTTTGAGTTGATTGATTTTAAGGATAGAAATAACTGGCCATCTGATATGAAACCATCATTTTCAGAAACACACTTAAAGCCATCTATGAAAATTAGGATTATATCAATAGGAAAGCAGCAATATATAGGAAATACAATGTCAACGTATTGAGAAATTCCAATAATAAATCATTTAATATAAAAACACATTCAAGAAAAAACAGGTAAATATAATGGTAGTGTTTCAAACAATTAATTTCATACATTTGACCCATACCTATGCTTATTTATATTGACATGTTGAGTTTTGCATGAAAAACCTGATACTACCACTTAATATATCAAAGTCTTTTAATCCTACTGTTAGTGTTTTCCTCTGGTGAGTAACCATGTTTTGTTTTACTAATTTATATACGCCTAACTGATACTATATAGATTTAAAACAGAGGTGGATTTATGGCACTTCATGTTTTTGGTTAAGTCATCACATCAGTATTACCACTGATGAAGTTGCACTCCAAAAAGATCCACAGTTACCACCTTCAGAGCGTGGTCTACACTATGAAACCTTATACAGCTTGATACAGTTATGCAGCTTATACAGTTTAATATACCAAATAACTGTTTCTTATACATCCCCCACAAGCAAATTAATTTAGATTAAAGAACTCAGCTTGAGATGTTCACAACTCTTTTTGGTTTTGTTCTTTGTTTGCGTTTCAGTTTTTTCTTAAACACAATATTTTTTTTTATTACCCAAGGGGGGGCCAACCTACTGCTGCCCAGAGTAGACTTTGGTCTAGATGGGTGGGTGGGATATGTATAAATAAATACATAAATACTGACTGACAATCGGCAGTTCATAGCATTAAAAATTATTTTGGTATTATGAGTAGAAAGCAGATGGATTCCCACAGTTACTTGTAAGACACATAAGGAAACTTGCTACTTTTTGTCATTCTCAATTTTACACTTTTAGTACTCTTAGTTGTGGCCTCACCATTAGTAAACATGTGAGACAGTTTTTTCTGTAAGCAGATTTCAGGTTCTGTACTAAGTCATAGCTTCATTTAAAAATTAGATTTCTGCCCATGTGGATTCCATGCACTACCACTTTCTTCCAGAATCCTGTTATTTAGAGTTATGAAGGTATTTTTAAGCTAAACGTACTTCACTATCTGTGCTTTTGCTATTAGATGATTACATAATCAGTGTAGTTTGTTAGTTCCATGGCTGAGATAAAGGGCTATAAACTTGGAAGTCCCAGTTAAAATCTTAAGTTGTAAACAAAGTCATCCCAAGGGCTGTACAGTGTTCTGAATGTGGACAGATAGGTCTAGCCTTGGAGCATGACTAAGGGAAACCATTTCAGTTGCTACAGAATCTTCCTTGGCCTTTGCTTCTTGGCTGTAGAAGTTCTCTGGTTAGAAACAATGGCTGGAATCACCTAGAAGAGGCCCATTGAATAAGTGGAACATATGGACGAGTTAATTCACCAAATTCCCACTGACATACTAAGCACACTCTAGTCGTGACTTCCAACTGTATTTCAGCCAAAAGGATGGTATTCCGTGTTCTTTTCAGGGGTACGTCATTGGAATGATTTCCCAGAGGTGATGTATAGAATCATTACCACATCTAAGCAGAGATGTTTTGGCTGCTTTTGTGAGATAAGGTTTTTGTGAAGTAATGCATTTGTGGATGATTTAAAATCTCAAAGCTAACTTTGGAAAGTGTACAACGGGTCAATTGAGGTCCAGTAAATATTATTTATGAGTACAGCAAGTACTCTATTTATTCCCCATTGCTGCCTTAGTTAATTAAATCCTTTGCTATGGAAGCAAAAGCTGGAAATAATGTTTGTGAATTTAATTATGTTTTTATTCTCATAATCATAACCTTTCTTAAATAATAATAATCATATGCTGTCAAGTCAGTTCGGACTTACGGCAAACCTTTTCAGGGTTTTTTATGTAGAGAGTATTCAAAATGGGTTTACCATTCCCTTCTTCTGGGGGCAGAATGGGCTTACCATTTCCTTCTTCTGGGCCTGTGCGGCTTGTCAATGCCTATACAAGCTGGCTGTTCTTCTAGGGTGCACAGTGGGCCTGTGTGGCTTGTCAATGCCTATACAGGCTGGCTGTTCTTCTAGGGTGCACAGTGGGGCGTCGAACCCCCAACTTGTATTTTCTTTTCTACCACAGAAGCTCTAGAATATTCTGACGAGGCTCCGTGCATGCACGGATTACCCAGAGTGTGAATCACAGAGGTCTACTCGAAGAACCATAGAAGAACTGAGGTGTGACTTTTTTCATTAACTACAATTTTGTTCTTGTTATTTTTTTAAATCTTGTCTCTAGCTGCTTCATGAATATTGGATGGTTCTGAGAGATCATGTGTCTGCCATTGATGAACTTGCCATGGCTACAGAACGGCTCAGAGTGCGCCATCCAGATGAGCCAAAACCCAGCCACCCTGTTCTTCACATAATTGAACCACATGAGGTAAAATTTTGCTGTGTCTTGGAAGTAGGCATAATGCATAATTATCATGAGGCTTCTTGCCCGTATCCTGCTTTTGCTTGTTCTTCAGAAGTATCTTTTCATTGGTGTGGAGCTAGACTGAAAGTATTTGTATCCTACGTTTATCTGTACGTTTAACTATACATTGTATTTCAGCCTTAAGTATTTGCCAAGGAAGAGTTACAGTAAAAACCCAATTCACAGTTGAAAGATTCAGATTTAAAAGTAAATGCAGAAGCCAGAGCCGTAGTAGGAGAATAAAAGCATGTAATTCAGTGTGCAAAATATACTTTGCTGTTCCCTAGAACCTTCTAATTATGCAAAATTATAGTTAGTAAACTTGAGGCTGAGGTATAGGAAAGATTTGAATAGTATAATTTTTCCTTTATTATTTAATAGCAGTGCAGGAGATGAAAGCCTGTAATGAAAATCCCAGAAAAATAAAATTGGTTTTCCAGGTAGAACAAAATCGAGTAAAACTTTTGAATGACAAAGCAGTTGCCAAATCACAGCTCCAGAAGAAACTGGGCCAGCTTCTATATCTCACTAATTTAGAAAAGGTAAGATAGACCTCCCACTGTCATGTCATATCTTATGAGATGAGTTATTAACTCTTGCATTGCATTACTGTTTAAAAGGCAGTAGGTGCTTCAGTAAGTTTTTTGTTTTGCTTTGTTTTGTTGCTGAGATTCTGCAGATTTTTCTCCATCTCTTTTCTTCAGTTGTGTCCATGCGGATTTAAGGGATAGAGGACATACCTCTTCTGTATGGGAATTCCATAACTTGTTTGCTGTATGGGAGGGGACTGCCATTTAAGGAACAAAAAAAGGCAGAAATAACTGTGGGCTTGTGTAAGATTTTGAATGCTAAAACTCTGAATTGCATTGTGCAGTCATGACTATGACCCTAACATGTATACATGTGTCTAGGTTGGAACAGACTGGTCTCTTAGTGGTTATCACAAAGAAACCTGAATGCATTGATGTGGAATTTATTAAATCCGCAAGAGTGATACTTCAGAAAGCCACCATGTTCACAACAAGAATTGTTTGAAGAGGAACTGTGGTAGCTGAATGCACCTACATTTATTTTCTGATGCCTTTAAACAGCTTTCCCACCAGTCTTGAAAGTGATTTATCACTTCATCTAACTGAATCTCAGCTGACATTTTTTTCCGTAATTCATGAAAAATATTGGGTTGAGTCTAGAAATACCTTTCCACTAGATGTTGGTAGAAAAGAGGGTGTGACACTCTTTTAGAAATTACCTCCCACTGGAAAACTAGTTGAGATAATCGAAGATGTGTTTCCTGCTTAACAAGTACTGCACAAGAAAAGTAACCCCAAATCTAGATAAACATTTTATCTTCATGCAGGATCCTTCTTTATAGCCTGCTAGCACACACGTTACAGCCAATGTCTTTCTTATTCACCATGTTTCTTACAATATAACATAAACCCCAGTACATTGTAGAACTGTGCTGCAAGAAGTCTTGTAGTGGCTTACAGAAAGCTGCTAGTACATTTTCCCTTTAACTCTTAGTTTGGCTGGATTTCATTTTTATGAATATTATCTTGTATTATCTTCATAGAGCTGTGGATAACACAGAGATATATTGGATAATGACTTGGAAAATATCCAGAACTTTAGGATTGTTACAGAATGAAATGGCTTGAAATTGAACTGATTTTTATTTCTCAGTAAAAATGTTTTCTTTTCTCATGTTGAAGTCTCAGGATAAAACAACAGGAGGAATTAATCCAGAACCCTGTCCAATTTGCGCACGACAGCTGGGCAAACAGGTAAAAAGTTAAGCTGTGGATTTTTCTGTACACACCTCTTAGTTCATTTGTCAGTGCAGAGGCCTGCACTAACCATTTAGCCATACTACCCTGGCATTTCACATTTCCAGTTACAATTCCTACACCCCTTAATCATTTAATACTTTATTAATACAAAATTTAAAACTTTGAAAGCCTCCACCCCCACCTGGTGGTTGAATTTGAGGAAGTCTTGCTTAAAGATTTGCTCGGTTGCTTTTGTAATCTTGATATTGCCATCTTCTTCTATAACTGGATTAAAAATGATTTCCCCTATCTAGCTATTTTACCTTGTCATATATGCTGTCACACATGCTCTTTCTGTTTCTCCAGTGGGCTGTTTTGACTTGTGGTCATTGCTTCTGCAATGACTGCATAGCTATTATTATAGAACAGTACAGTGTCGGAACCAGGAGGAGTTCAATAAAGTGTGCCATCTGCAGACAGACAACTTCACATAAAGAAATCTCCTATGTCTTCACTGCAGAGACTGCAAACCAAGAGGATGATATACCAGTGAAGGTAAAATGCCATGCAAGTGAAACTGATTTGTATTGATGAAAGTGCTTAAATGACCCCATTTGGTTATTTACGGCTCTCTTACTTTTAGGCTAGGTTTATTGGACTCATTAGTGCTCTCAAGGCATTTTCCTCAAAATGTCTGTGGAGAAACCATGATATTTTTACAGAAGAAAAAGTTTAATATGTTTATACGTAATAAGCACCGAGATATGGATGAAAGGTTTTGTTCTTATGGAATGGAGAGTAGGGGTCTACATATGTTAAGTCTACTAAGCAAACATTTCAGGGAGGTTTGTTGATGCAAGCCAGGTTGATAGAGTGTGGACCACCAGAAAGATGGCTGGCTGAAGGCTCCCTGGAAGAAGCAAATATTAAAAGTCATTGTGAGCTGCCAGGGGCCTGTCCATCAGAGGGTGTAAGTTCGTAGAGGAGTGAGCTGTGAGAAGCGCAGAAGAGAAGCTAAAGTCCTCAAGTCAGTTTGGAGGGGCAGCAAGAGTAACATTGCTAGAAAGACTAGAGAGCTGGCCTGAGTCCTGAAATCATTTGGGGGATGAGCAGAGAGGAAGTCTGGCAAAGAGGAGAGGACGACTTCTACATGACAGCTGGTGCTGCTGGTATGAGTAGGTGATTCCTCAGGCAGATTGAAAATTGCATGAAAACTTAGGTTGTAACATTAAAGGGTTCCAGCATACTATTAAGCCTAGCCAGAAGAGAGCCCAAATACTCTGAAAATGAAGATTGATTTTAATCTTTTTCTTCCTTTTTTTTTCCTCCCAAAGGGAAGTCATTCCACCAAAGTGGAAGCTGTGATCAGGACTCTCAAGAAAATCCAGTTCAAAGATCCAGGAGCAAAATCCTTAGTTTTCTCAACGGTATCTCTACAATTTTAAAATCTAAAATGTACATGTTATCAGATATATTACTTGATAGTATTGATGTGGATAATAGGGCTAGTTTCATTGACACTGGAAGTGGAAGATATTGAAAAGTGTCTTCAGTTGTCTTGTTGTCTTTGTTGGATACTGGAAATACTTTTCTTTTTTAATATGGACGTAACTTTCCATTTTATCTTGTAGTGGCAAGATGTTCTAGATATCATTGCAAAAGCACTATATGATAACAGCATGGAGTTTGCTCAGATCAACGGAATTAACAAATTTCAGGTACATTTTACTGTAGGAGATCATTTTTAGTTATGAAATCTTTTCCCTTCGTGTTTCCCTTAGAGTTGTATATTTAGAGTGACAGAGAATAACTCTGTTAAAGCCAGTAAAACTCTGTTTTAGCCAGTAAAGTGAACTTCTTTTCTAAGATGTGCTGGAAATCTTTTAAAAAATTAAATTAAATTAAGTGGCCCAGAGCTGGGGAACATACTAGGCTAGCGTTTACCAGCAAGTAACACTGGCTTCCTGTTAACTGCAATTAACAATGGGAGAATTGGCTTCATTAACCCTACAAATTATGCCAGGACCAAACTTCATTTGAGAAGTTCCTTGATAGGCATCAAGCAATTTTTAAGCTTTGATGTCACTAGAAGAGGTTAAAGCCAGGCAATACTCCATTAGGTTTTGGTCCATTTCAAGCAGTTAATCCATGGCACCTCTTAGTTCAGCTATCTTCACTGAAGGATGGGGCTTCTACTGGTATACACAGAAGTGCTAATTTTTTGTAAGTTTTTCTAACTGCCTTCAGTCTGATTTTTCTTCCAGGAAAATCTATCTGCATTTAAATATGATCCCAAGATAAATATATTGTTGTTACCCCTCCATACTGGTTCCAATGGATTAAACATAATTGAAGCCACTCATGTCCTCTTGGTGGAACCCATCTTGAATCCAGCACATGAATTACAAGCTATTGGCAGAGTACATCGTATCGGACAGACTAAGTAAGTACCGAAATAGTCATGTGCTTTTGTGTGGCTGAATTTACCAGCAGTTCATGCAGCATACAGATTTCATAATGTCACATGACGTATGACAGTAATTCATGTGCATGTGGCAGTAAGAGCAAGAAGCACTCCATAGCTGTCAATGATTTCAGAATCAAAATATTTCACAACTGACATTTTTATATTTGCTTTTGTTCTGCAAGTCTGTGAGGTTGGTTTAGTTCAGAATGTACCAGAACAGTGGTTCCCAACTTTGGGTAATCCAGGTGTTCCCCAGCCAGCATAGCTGGCAGGAGAAGCTTCTGAGGGCTGAGGTCCCAAGAACAAGTGGGTTACTAAGGTTGAGAACCACTGTAATAGAGGGGCTGTTAAACTTGTGCTCGAAAGCTTCCTGTTCTCAAGAACCAGGGAATTTGATATTATGAATAAGCTGGTGTCATCAGTGCCTTTTTAAAAATCCCATTTGGTGAGTCAATTTTTTATTGCAATTCTCTTGCTTAGCACATATTTTTCATTGGTTGTTGTTGTCTTTACTTTAATATTTCTCACATAGAAAGGTGAGAGAAGGGGGTGTCCATAACTAAATGCGGTGTCTTCTAAAAACAGTATTGCTCCCCCCTCCCCAAGAAACATCATGACCAGACACTAACAATAATGGGCTCACACTATTCCTGATTAATTTTGAAGAGTGCAATAGTTTTAAAGTATGCTTAGTGATTTCCTGTTGTAGATTATGTCTGCTTTTTCAATAACAAGTGCTTCCCAAGAATACTTTTCTAAGGTTCCATTATATATGTAGGCTTTTTGAAACATAAGTGGTGTGATTTTTTTTAAAAATGCTGTGATTCTGCTTAATTGTTGCAATATTCGTCATATAACTATCACTGCAACTGTTAGAGTAAACAAAAAAAGGATTACATCTGAATCCTAAATTAACTAGTGATAGTTACTTCTGAATGAATTTGCATAAAATTTCACTGAAAGTGTACCAACATGTGCTGGCTGTTTTCCTTTTAAATGTAGGCCCACCATTGTCCATAGATTCTTAATAAAAGCCACAATAGAAGAAAGAATGCAGACAATGATGAAAACTGTAGAAAGGAGGTAAGTAAAGCTTGATTTATTTACATCACCTGAGCAATATTACATTCTTCTTTGTGGTCTCTGTGAATGCATACTAATGGGTTTAATCTGTGCCTGCGCAGAAGTCTCCGAAATATTCTAGAGCTTTAGATACGTTCACCAGGGACTGCCCCCCCCAGTGCATGTGGTCTGCCCATCCTGGCGATTGCCTCAGTTCCTTTTTGTCACCGCTAAGGTTTCTCCTCTTGTCAAGCTCCATTCGCCACTTGCTTTGTTTCAGCTGTAATCAAGGGGATAATTGTAAGAGACTTTGAGCTTATTTCTCCCTAATCAGATCGTCCCCTTTTCCCATTCCACCCCATTTATGGCACCTCTTCCCCCATTTAAAAAGTGCACCTCGTGCTCCAACAAGATCCCCCTCACAGATAGCCACAATCTTTGCCTTTTCTGCCTGGGAGAATCTCATCAACCATCCACCTGCCAGTTTTGTGAGAAGTTCACTAAGCAGGCTCTTCAACTCAGACAACAGCATCTTAGATCATTTCTCTGGGAACATTCTCTTCAACCAACTCAAACTATGGAATCTTCTGAAACTTCCCAGCCTCCTAAAGAATCTCCGGGATTACTGGCTGCTTCTCCAATTTATAAACTGATTCCCAAATAACCTAAATGGACTTCGAAACCTAAGTCTTCAACTTCAGCAAAATCCACCCCGGTACTGATTCCTATCTCGACATCGGAGCACCCTAAGCCTAAAAAAATCAAAGAAAGAATCTTCCGACTCTCGGTACTCTAAACATACCTCGATACCGGAGACGGTCCCTCTACCAGACCAGCCTACAGTTTGTCTTGTCTCTCCAGATGAGAGCTTCTTACCACCTTCTGGTCAACCACCATCTCCACTAGTTGCACAATCTTCATCTTCGGCAATCGCCTCAGCTGAGGTCACTGTCATTTCTCGATTGGCACTTTCGAGCCCCCAATCTATGGGTTGCTCAGCCTCTGTTGGTGATTCTGAGTCGGTGTCTGCTCTGCCCGACATACCACCCCCATGTAAGCAGCTAAGGAAGACTCATCATATGCCAGAGATGTGCCATTCTGATGCCAATCCATTACACCCCTTGAGTCCAACTGGGCCTTTGGCATCTTGAGAGCCTCTCGCTTGATCCCTCCACTCAAAGCAGGTTATGCGCTATGAACCCAGACCGTATTATGAGCCTCCACTTAAGTGCTCTCGACATAGAGCTTATTGGTACTATCAACCTGATACCGAGTTCTACATCGAACCCAGACACTCTCAGTGTCGATATTATCCATCTGACATGTCTGATTCTTCACCTCCTCAATACCGACCACGGTTTCATGATTATTATTACACCTCATCTGACGATGATACCTTACCACCTCCTCTGGTACCGAAGTCCCAGAGACCTCGTAAGAGGCCCCATCTCGAGCCTCTCCAATAACATCTCATGGTACCAAAACGATCCTGTGCTCCTGCTAAAACGTCTTTGCTTACTGTAGAACTCACTATCTCAGGTTCGAGCATCTTCGGTACAGACTACAGCTATATATGCTGGACCTTCACCCATGCTTCCCGGTACTACTCAACCTCACCAGAAGAAACACTCTACAAATAAATCTGTATCGGTACCAATTCAACAACATTCTCACAAGTCTCAGTCCTTCATTCCAGAACCTCCTCCTGCTATTCCTGTTCCGTCATTTCAGATGACGCTCGTATGAGGATTGAGGACTCACCTTTTGTTGGCACTGGCCTCTTCAACGACAAAACCGTCAAAATTCTGGACAATTTGCAAAAATTAAGAAAGACAGCAAGATCTTATAACACCCAGCCATACTACAAACCACAATATCAATGGTGTCAACCTTACTCGTATCAGCAAACTAGATCATTCCCTGATAGAAATAGATACCTTCCACAGTCATCGTCCTCTTTTCAACCTTCTGTCGTCCTCAGATCCACTTACCTCTTCTCTCTCCATGCACCATAACTCATTTTTCAGCCCATCTTCCATCCTGGCATCCATCACCACCGGTTCCTGGGTCCTTACTATCATTGCCACGGGCTATGCAATAGAATTCATTGTTCCACCTCCACCAAGGACTGTTCTAACCTCACCGTCCGACGTTCTCAACCAAGGAGTTCAATCTCTTCTTCTCAAAGACGCCATATCACCTGTCACCCCATCAAACAACTGTCATGGAGTTGAATCAGTATGGGATATTTAGTCAGAGAAATGTAAGGTGGAATCAGACAGGTTCTGTGTGAAGATGATCTAAGTGCTATGAGAGTTTTTTTTTTCTGAAGACCAATACAGCATGGTTCAAAATAAATCTGAAGGTCGGACCAAGGAGCCCGTGAAAGACTCAACATTCCAAGCTAATTGGAGAAGAGATAAACCTGAATTTTCATAGGAATTGAGGGAGGAGGAAGATGCTGTAGCCCCTTGAGGTGAATTGGTTAACAGCCTTGAAATGTCAAGAAGAAGGAAGGAGTTAAAGAATGTAGAAAATGAACAATGGGTTATGTGGAACAAGTTTGGAAGTTCTATTCCATGATGATGGGAGAGAAAAAGAACTTGATGATTTGAGGCTTGAAGGAGAAAGAATGTAAGTGGAGAGAAAGAAGGAGGGGGGCTAGCCCACCTTATCCCAGCTTAGTAGTGTTTTTTATTTTAATGGGGATTAGTTATTTTATTTAACTGTAATGATCTTTGAATATGTTCTTTATGCTAAAGCTTGAGCAATCTGAACTGATTCTATGAAACTATTTTTCTAATAAAAACTCTATTTTTCTAATACAAAATTAACTATGAAAATCCATACAAAGGACTTTTCTCTTGAACATCAGGGTCTGGCTAAATCCAGGAGGTGGAGAGGGCCACAAACTCTTAAAGACTCTATCTTTAAGAGTCCTACCTAACTTTGCCTCCAAGCAAAGGTGGTAGGTAAGTGGCCTGTTGAACTCTCTGACCGAGTGCTAAGTGCTCCTTAGGGAGGCTTGGGCATTACAACGACAATCCAGGTTTCTTCTCCAATTATTTCATTGTCCCGAAACACAATAACAGTTTGCAGCCCATTCTCCATCTTCAAGACCTCAATTATTACATAATTCAAAAATGTTTTTGCATGGTCACATCAGAACAAATCCTACCCATCCTCCAGCAAAATGAATGGTTTGCGCTTATTGACTTAAGTGATGCATATTTCCCAATTACCATCCACCAAGACCATCACAAATTTCTCAGTTTTGCTGTAGGAACCGACACCTACAAATTCAAAGCCCTCCCCTTCAGGCTATCCACAGCGCCAATAGTCTTCACCAAATGCGTGGTGGCTCACCTGCGTACTTGAGAGTCTCCATCTTCCCATACATAGACAACTGGTTAATAGTCTGCCCCTCACACTATTAGGCTCTAAAAGATATTCGGTTGAGCCTTTCTCTTCTTGCAGATCTGGGCCTCAAGGTCAACAAAGAAACATTCATTCTTGTCCCTACATAGCAGATCACCTACATAGGTGCAATTCCTGATTCACGGAACACAAGAATTTTCCTTCCTCAAAAAAGAGCATCCAAACTTCATGCTCTTATCCAAAATTTCCTCCTTTACTCATTTGTCACAGCACATCTGACCCAACGTCTTCTAGGCCTCATAGCTTCCACCACATCAACCATTTAACACTCCAGATTAAAGATGTCCTCCCTACAATCATGGTATCTCACCCTCTTTGATCCTATGACAGATTCACCTTCCAAACTTCTCCAGGTTACTCCCGAACTCTCCGTCCAGCTCCTCTGGTGGAATACTCCAGCCAACTTCTTCATCAGAAGGTCCTTTGCCCCTCTCCAGTTATCAATACAAATCACCACCGATGCAAGCCCTACCAGATGGGGGGCACATTGCAACGACCTACACAGTCATGCTACCTGGTCCCACACCGAGCGCAATCTTCACATCAACAACCTTGAACTCTTAGCCATTTTCAAGGCTTTTTGCGCCTTCGAACCTGTCATTCTTGGCACAGTCGTCCAAGTCACAACAGAGAATATCACCGTGTTGTTTTACATAAACAAACAAGGAGGCACCCACTCTCTCCCACTGCTACATCTCACCATCCAATTCTGGGAATTGTGTCTTGAAAGCCACATTTTTCCCATAGCAGTACACATCACCACTCAAGACAATCTAGTGGCAGACACTCTCAGCAGGATACACACTCAGATGCACGAGTGGACCCTCAACCAGACAGTCTTCTCTCACCTCTGCGAACTCTGGGGACAACCACACATAGACATGTTTGCCACGTCGCAAAACTCCAAATGCGCCCTCTTTTACTCGAGGCATAGGACCAGGCTCTTTAGGAGATGTGCTCATGGCTATTTGGACCACGCACCTCATTTATCTCTTCCCACCCATCCCTCTCCCTCTCAGAACAACAGCCAAAATCCATTAAGATTGCTCCAACGCAATCCTCATTGCTCCCTGGTGGCCCAGGCAACCATGGTTCACCATGCTCAGAGCCATCTCCACATATTATCTCCCACTGCCTCTCATTCCTCACCACCTCTCTCAGCATCAAGGCAGGACTCACCACCCCATTCTCCACACTCTCCATCTCACGTCATGGAGAATTCAACCTCGATAAATACCATATTGGCTAACGCCCGAAAACCTGCTACACCCATTAGTGTGCATTCACAGAGACCACGAAGAAGAAAGAGAGTTTACTTACCTGTAACTCTGGTTCTTTGAGTGGTCATCTGTGAATTCACACTTCCCGCCCATCCTCCCCTCTGTCCATCACATCTGTTTCACCTTTGATGCAGTGGCGGGCTGTTCTTCGGAACTAAGGTAATCGCCAGGACGGGCGGACCACATGTACTGGGGGGTGGTCCCTGGTGAACATTGTTACATACAGCACTGATGTTACCTGTCTGTCATGGGTTTGGAGGGAAAGTTCCATCCTATGGGGAGTGGAAGGCGGGACATCAGGAGGAGGGGCTGTACTGTATATATATGTGAAGCCTGTGTGGTGAAGTTTAGGAGACGCTGGGATGTGACGAAGCATCAGCTGGGAAGAAGAAGCTGGTGTGGGAGTCTGTGTGTCAGACAGGGTACTACTGTGTGTCAGAGTACCAACCTGATAGGTTCAGGTGTCTGTTGGTTAGCCAGAACTGATAGGTTCAGGGTCTGTGCTTCAAGTTAAGGGTTCTGTGTGAACCAAACTGTATGCATGTATGAATGAGACTAAGCCACGTTACTATATCTTATTCACCTGATCATTTTATTTTCCCTGTGTGTTGTATTTAAATAAACCTTATTCTTTTATTTGTTGAAAATCCATCCCTGGTCTGTGTGACTTCTTATAGGGAATGGTTGGTGGCAGCTTAGTTAACGTGTGGCAGATCCCAGTAGGTCTCTGTCCCTGGTGAACATATCTAAAGCTCTAGAATATTCCGGAGACCTCTGCGCAGACACAGATTAACCCCATTAGTGTGAATTCACAGATGATCATTCAAAGAACCAGAGTTACAGGTAAGTAACCTCTTTTTTCAGATAGTGAGCATTCAGGTTTGTAACTGCAGATATCCAAGGAACAAAAATACTTTGCAGTGTAATTTTATGCATACTTAACAAGGAGTACATTCTGCTGAACACTGTGGAGCTTATTTCTAGCCAACATTCTTAAACCCGCTATCAAAAACTGGAAAGGTGCAGGAGACTGAACCTTAACCGCCAGTTATATTTTTCTGATCAACTTCTTCATACACACACAATTGAAATGATTGCACATGTTATAGATAGTTTTTCCTTAATTTAAGTATAATAGAACAATTTGGAGAGCTGAGGAAATGAAATCCCTAGAACAGAAACACATGCTTGAAGGACAAATGTCTGAATGATATGGAGAAAATGGCTAAGAACTGCATACCGTCAGAATAAGTTCCCCCTGGTTTCTCTTTCTGATTTTTATGTGTTTATATATTTTCATGTAAGTTTTAAACTGCTTAATGGAACTGATGCCCAGTTTTAAAAGATGGAGTAAAAAAAGATACTTGTTTAGAAAGCAATAGAGATCTGCAAAGGTAGATATAAATATGTCACTACAAAATCATTTTGGGTAATCTTTTCAGGAGACAGCAGTCAGACTAGTAGTGCTTTAAAACATGGTCCTGTCCCTCATATGTTCTACCACTCAGCAATGAACTCTGTACCATGAATACCCTTTTTTGAGCTTCTTTTGCCAAACTCAGTTAGAAGCTATTTCTGATAATGTATTCCTATTTTCTCTTCCAAGCCACTCTAGTTCTTCCATGAAGCAGTCAGAGGCTTCTGTGTTAACAGTCGCTGATTTGGCAGACCTTTTCTCAGAAGAAACTGAGGAACTTGAATGAAAGAAAGCGTTTTAGACCCACTAAGGTTTGAAAGGGGCCGTAACTTATTTTGTAAACAGCAACACAAAATGACTTAAGTGTTCAGACATTCCTGTAGATGTCACTAAAAGCACTTACTTAGGGCTTTCTGAATTGGAAAGCATTTTTAACAACTTCCAGTAGATTCTGTAACTATGTTTTTACTTCAAGAAATTGTTTCTGTTAATAAAGAAAAGCAATTGCACTTTACACAAAGATTACATGTACTACGGTGTTGTACTTCCAAAGAACATGAGCATCTACATCCAGTTTTAGTTGGACTTAAAAGATGTTACTTACGTGTTACCAGTTGCACCAGAGTGTAGAAGGAGAGGTGCATCCAACTGAAACCAGTGCAGTATGAGTAGATGGTTACCATATTGGGTTGCTGATTTATGTCTGAAGTTCGTAATCCAACAAGAGATGTGTGTGTACCTCCTCTGCTGGATCAGGGTATTTAATTAGACTTTGAGCAAAGAAAGCTTTGCATGGCAGACAAGGGTATGAAAATCATGAACCCATTATCATCCCACATTCTCCTTTTATGATTCTTTTTCACATCCTTGAATCAGCAAATACCTGTTCTGGAAAGGGCTGTTGGTGCTGCCATTTTATCATCCAAGTAATGTTTTATCAGTTAACTTGTATGTACTAATTTTTAGAAATCACTTTATCATTTTCTAGGTATTTATGCAGTAACACCATGTTGTAGAAATTGGATTTTCTTGCTTGTTTATATTTAAATGTTTGCTGTTCATTTTGCTGTTCTCTTGATAAATTATGCCTTTTGTATGATCTTTTGTCTTGAAATGATAGATGACAACAATCTTTGACAGATTTTTAGATATTCTTAAAACTTGTTTTGTTCTAAAATTGGATTCTCGTATCCTATTAAACTGATAATGCTTCCTTCTTGTGTTTGATTGTATGATTGATTGATTACATTTCTATCCTACTCTGGCAACTAATAGCAGTTAAAACAATTACCTGCCCACCACCACAAGCACATAGGTACTAAAAACCCACCCCCCCAAAAAAAAACAAATCAGACTGCGAGGTAATGGTAAACCAAATACAACATAAACTCATGGATCTACAAGAGTGTTTAAGGGGAAGAATGTTCCAAAAGGGCTCTTCAAAAAAGCACAGATTTAACATGTTTCCTAAAAGTTAGAAGGGAGGGAGCCTGGCATATATTCTCAGGCAGTGTGTTCTGTAGCATTCTGCTCGCCACTGAAATTGATGGCAACTTCCCTGGTCTCCTTCAGGGTGATTGCCTAAAACTGCAAAGCCTAGTTAGCCCAGGTAGACAACCTTAAAAAGAGATGCTCCAACAGGTAATGAGGTCCTGAACTGTTAAGGGTTTTATAAGTTAGTACCAGTACTTTAAATTTAGCATGGAAGTAAAGAGGAAGCCAATGCAGACATGCTAGGACCTTTTGGTGCTGGTGCTGCCTCTACCACTGCAATCTTGAGAGGCAAGCTAGCTGGCTCTGTGCATACACAGAGGCAGCCCTAGACTGCTTCTCGATTTTTTTATTTTGTTTTGTTTTGTTTTGTTTTGTTTTGAGAGGCAGTCCAGCCTGCAGGAGACTCTGGAGCCAGGAGCAAAAAGTAGGGAGTAGAGATGGGGACGAATATAAAAACAGATTGCTTTTTCTGACGAATATAGCCAATTTGTTAAATATTTGTCAATCCGTATTTGTGGGTTCCAGAGACCCCCACGAATACAAAGGGATGAATATTTACCCATTTGTATTTGTCCTTCATATATATATAAAAAAGCATTCTGCCTACCAGCGGCAGAAATATAAAAAAAGCATTCTGCCTACCAGCGGCAGAAAGGCAGCCACCACCCCACACAGCCACCCAATACCATAGCCTACTCCAACCCCCTACCTTAAGCCCCTCTTACCTTAATTGTTGCTGCTGAGGTCTTTTGGCCTCAGAGACACGGATGTAAAAAGAGACTGGCTGCCCTTTGCAAAGATGGCAGCTGCAGCTTCCCTACCCTAAATGAAGCCGCAGCCACCATCTTTGCAAAGGGCAGCCAGTCTCCCTTTTTACAGCTGTGGCTGTGAAGGCCTGATGGAGACCTCGGAGCTATTAAGGTAAGGGGCTGTCAGTGGGTGGAGGCTAAGGTGGGGAAAAGAAGGGTGTGTGTGGGCAGGCTGTTGGGGTGGGTGGCTATGATGGGGGGTGGCTGCCTATTAGCTTTTGATCAACAGAATGGGTTTCTGTGTTCTGTGGTAAACTCTCCTGGGAGGGCCCAATTTGTGGGTGAATAACTCAGATGTCCGATATCCAGTCTTCACCAAAGTTTGCACGCGTATTGGGGAAAGACATAGGAAGCCCCGTTGTGATTCTCGATTCTCTTATGTACCTGGGGGGAGCTTTCCGGGGGGTCCTCTTTGTGACTATATAACTTGGGGGTCCATGAGTCAATGTTCACCAAACATGCAGGATATGTGGCAAAGCATCTGAGGAAGCTTCCCTGCAAATTTGGTGTCTCTAGGTGGTTGGGGGCAAGTGTTATAGCCGTTTACAGTGCAGGCAAAGTGACAGACTGATCCGTTGATTTGTTGAAGTACATTCGTATTTGTTGATCCATTAACCTTGACGAATAACGGATCAAAACAAATCACAATTTTTTTTTATTTGTCCCCATCTCTAGTTAGGGGGGCAGTGGGAAGGGGCAGGGGTAGTGACGCAAGAAGTTTGGGAAAACACTTTTAAAAAGTTCATTGTTCGTGTCAGTTTAGGTTCTCCAGTTCGGAACCAACATAAACCAGCAATATTTCAAAAGCTTCCTGGTTCATTTTTTTGGTTCATGCCCATGTCTAGTTTATTTCACTGTTCCTCATTCCTATTGCCATCACTCACCTATGGCTTAAAAGCACTTTTTGTTTATTATACATCAGTTTTCCCTCATCTGCCTTAATAAAGAGAATAGTGGGATAGCAATATTTGAATGAAGCATATTGAGCACAGGCTGACATGCTGGAAGGAGGGAAAGGTGCAGGCCTCAATCCCAACTTCCATTTTCCTGCAAGTAACATTTACCCAAACAACATACTAAAGCAGCCATTCTCATCTTTTTTGGCTATGGCCCTTTTAGGAGCTTTTCTCAGGTTGCAGGGCCCGCTGTTAAACTAAGAAAGCCTTTGGCTGTGTACAAAGAAGGATACAACACAAATGGGTGAGTCTGTGACCCCCTTCAAATGTGCCAGGGCCCCCACTAAGGAGTATGGGTGTATTAGAGAGGCAGCCACAATCCTTTTTTGATGTGAATAAACATTTAAAATTTTGGAAACTGTCAAAGGTGCTCTCACAAAATGATGCCATAGTAGGCCTGGGCTGTCACACAACGCCCACTTCGCAGAAGGCAAACTGAGGTGAATTTTCAAAAAGTTGCTCTAGAATCTGAATGCATGTTAGAGGTTAAAAGTGAGCTCTAAACCACAGAACAGCTCATCGGAACGCAGTTAGTTTCTCCAGCAACTCTCACAGAAAGGCAGACGAGGCCCACGGATAACTTGGCCAAGTAAAACATGCATGCATGCATATGTTTGATTTTATTTAGTGTCGTGTGTAGGCTGCCTTTCTCCTGATGAGGGGACATACAAGGCAGAGGTAGAGCTGGGGGCCTAACTACCAACTCATTCCCTTGTCCTCACAAAAAAAGTGCATCTTTTCATAGAAGGCAAACAGATGATGCTCAGAGAAAAACAGCAGGCCAGATATCTAAACAGGCAGCAACAATTTGCATGAGAACAACAAAAGGTTAAAAGAGATGCACCTATGTCACAGGCAAAATGCACGATATGAAAGCAAACAAAAGAGTAAAGTGAAGCAAGTGCTGAAGGATATAGCAAGTTTTAGCAGATATCAAAGGATGTATTTCCTGGAACTGCCTGCTGCAACAAGCACTAAACTGCGGGTCCCCGCTACTTTCCCAACACTACTAGCATAGCAACCAAAAAGAGAGGATCACATAGCAAAATACTCTCACAAAATACCAGAAATGTATACATTAAAGCAGACCTGGGCAAAGTGCAGCCCGTTCCTGTGCGGCCCACAGACAGTTTTGAACATCAAAACAATTTACTGTATAGCTTTTTGTCTAAAGTTGATCAGTTGCTTATCTTTAACATACCACAAAAAACCTCTTTAATTATTTGTGAAGATTAACAAGTTTAAAATAAAAAACAATCAACATCACTGTTTCATTTTATTTTTAAGTAAAGTTGGTTCGGCCCCCGAACACAGTTCAGATTTTTCATGTGGCCCCTCTATAGAAATTAATTTCCCACCCCTGCACTAAAGACTCTTGAAACTGGTAGTACAACATGAGCATATTAGGGAGTGGATGAAATAGAATGGATCGTCACTGGACTTTTTCATGGAGAGAACAATAGAAAGGAATATTAAGAATGCCTTAAGATGGAGACAAAATCCCAAAATAGACATTGTTTAGATGTGCTCTTAGGGTTAAAAATTTAAACCACCCATATATCTCTCTCATTCCTGGAAAGCAGAGAGATTGTGATTAATTCCACCCACTTCTTTTAAATACACAACCTTACATTGTATAGTCTTCTCAAAGCAGAGTATTTTGAGTGTATTCTGATAGCTTATGATCATGCCAAGGTACAGTATTAGATCTGAAGTCCTCTGGGACTCTCCAGTGTGATCTTAGTTGCAAGAGTCAGACTTTGTATTTCCATAGAATGTAAACATGGGTATCTTATTTTATTGGGATGAAGGGTGCCATTAGAAATAAATTGCTTATATTTCTTTATAGAACATCAGTCTGATTTTGAGTACCCTTTTCTAAAATGGGTGCAATGGTTACATGTTGAAAATCTGGGAAATATAGTCATCTCCCCTTCACATTGAGGTAGTTAAACAGAATATCTGTCTAACCTCTACACTTCTGGCTCAGTTGCAAAAAGGGTTTCTACCGTTTCAGGCAGTCTGAAATCTTGGCTTGCAAAGCACCTCGGTCTGTACTCTCAACTTTTTCTTCCTTTTTTGGTTGCCTGGAACATAAAAGTTGTTTACGAGAATGGTCTTGTCCTATAAACAGAGGCTAAAGAAATCCCACGCTGAGGAGAAAAAGGAAGCCAGGGAAATTACTTGCTTTCTTTTCTTCTCCATTTGCTCAGTCTCACAAAAAGTGTGTGTTTGGTCAGTGATGATGTCTGATTCATCCGCCTTAATCTATAAACTGGCTGTAATGAAAGGTGCGTTTTAGAAATAACACTGTAGAAAATGCCAAAGCACTTTGAGAAAAGCAAACACTATTCTGGGAATTTCTGTTCTGCTTTTAAATGCTGGCTGATCTTCAGGAGAGCTGGCAGTACCAACAGGCCACTCGCATGGGTATCATCACAATGAAAATGCTGGGGTTTTTTGGTCACATGTAGGATACATGAGTAAAGCTATACTGAATAACCCCTGTAAAGCAGGCATGTTTAATTTAAAGAAGAACTGGAATTAAAGGTGATAATTTTCTTGCCTGTGACTGGCCAAATTAAATCATTAACCATGCTAGTTGCATTTGCTTTACCTATAAAGCCAAGAAATGACACTATCAAAAGTGTTAAAATGAATAAAATACACACTTAAAAATGAAGCTACCATGTCTGTGAACAGCTTCTCAGCTGTGAGTAACATTTGTGCACCACAGAACAGGCCCTCAGGGAGAGAATATTAATAATGGTAGCACACATTGTACAACAAACAGTACACAAAATAAATTGGGAAGTAACTTGAACCATTGCATTGCAAAATATAATTTGATATCCCCTTCCAGATAAGTGTGTTTACAGAACAACAGTACAGATTTTGAGAAGGAGGACTGGTGACAAAACTGGCATGGAGGCTCCTTCAGTTGGATTTCCATGTTTCCATAGTGCACACGGACTCCCTTCCTCAGATTTGACCTTGCTATTAGCACACCAAACTCACACTGTTGCCTTTATACATTTGGGACACCTGGGCCCCTTTTTCAACTTCCACCTTTGCTCTGAGAAAGAAATTATTTAAGCCTCTTTTTTTAGAACTCAAACCCATAGGCAATGCTACCACCATCTGTTCCTAAAGATCTTTTCAACAGCTCTAACTCTCATCTCTTCCCTTTGGTTAAGCAGCCAACATGGATGTTTTGGTGATCTGCCATTACATCTGTTTGATATACAGAAATTGTTAATTTTTACAAAAGAGCTGTCAGTATTCTGTTGTGTAGCTGTGCCTGCGTAACAGGAGTGATGTCACCAGCTACTGCAGACTATCACTAATTAAAGAGTTCCTTTTCATTGCATGTGAGCTGCATAAATGTTAACATTGAAAAAGAAAACTCTTTAATTAGCAACAATCTGCCTTGGCCGGTGACATTATTCCCGTTGTGCAGGCATAACTGGCTGTTAAGTTCCAAAAATTGAAATGACAAAGAGTCAAAACAGGATACAGATTTATAGCACATCCTTTTATCTAACCTAAATCTAATCCTAATTTATTAACCTACATGCAAACCTGTCTCTCTACCATACTTATTCTGTCTTTCCTTAGAAAATACCAATTTTTGCAAGCAATTCCACAGTTCAGATGTGCTATAATCTAAGTAATACCTCCCCCATCCTTAACCTGGTTAAAATGTTTTCACAGCACATTGAGTGCAATCAAATGTAGGCTAAGCATAAAAATGGTTGGCCAAGGCAATTTTCTTTCCCTGTAAATCAGTATGTTTGGTTCCATGTGTCCTTCCATACAGAAAGAAAGCTGGGAGGAGTCCAGCAGCCTGGAGTCTCTTGATTGTGTCAGAGTGTATCTTTTCCAGCAGATTATATTATGTGCAGGACTGGTCCAAGAAGTTTTTCTGCCTGTTATGGACTTCTACAGCTCATCAATCTACCCATTGAACATCATTGGTACTGAGAGAATTCCCATAGGTGAAGGAGGCATCTAGCTTAGGAGGTGCAGAGCAGCTCTTGTGGGCTCTGGAGCTGTGTCCTCGTGCACCACATTGCTGTGTCCCGCCTCTCATTGTTTGCCATTTGAGGCAACATCTCCACATTGTTTTCAAGCCTTATAAATGTCCTGAGTGAAAAATAATTCCGGCAATAGCTGCTATTATTGTTTCAGTACAATTAAGACTCAATCTGTGTGCTTTCAAATAGTTTTACATGTATTTTGAGCATCACTAGTAGCCCACGTAGCCAAATGCCAAAGGAAATTATTCTTAGATGATTTGAATCCCATCTGGATGGTTGTTTTGTGTTTTGCAATCCAGCTTGTGCTGGGCAGAAAAAAATGATTACTTTTTTCCCTTTGGACAGCTGACTACTCAGCCCATTGCCATGAACATACTACCAACATCTTCTGAACCATAATGTTCAAAAGTGTCCTCCTCATCCCTTAACATGGGGGTGGGGGAAGTGGCTTTCATTCATCATCTTAATAAAACATTTGACCAGCAGTCCATATTGATTTTGCTACCCAAATTCTTGAATCCCATGATCTTATTTTGAGTGAAAACCTCAACCTCCCCCCAAAATAAAAAATCCTATATTACACTAGACCTGCCAATTCTTTAAGATCCACCAACCCAATCCACCATGTTCTATCTATGACTCTAGAAGTTGAGTTTCTCTGTTAAATTATTTCCATATAAATGGATGGAGTCATTGCCTGGGTGACTTAATAGTGTAAATTGTTTCAAGGGAATAGTGAAACTCTGAAAATAGTTTACCGATTTTTCTTTTAAAAACTGTTATTTTTTAAAAAAAATTAAGTACTACACGATGCTTTGCCTACAGGGGAAAAAATGTCAATTTTGCAATTTGTCTGCTGACTGTAGGGCTAATGTTTATTTTGTTGCTTTTCAATCATTTAGCTCTTTCATTCTTTTTCCTTGGGGACAAAAAAAGTGGGGGCAGGAGGGGGCGGGAGGAAGACCATAAATCATTTCCTGCCACCTTCTGTAGAGCAGAATGGAAGGAGATAAAAGACCAAGGAGAAGACTCATTGGGAAGGAGTGTGGTAAAAGTTGCTGCTATAGTAAAAGACAAAAAAAAGACAAAAATGTGGGGGGGGAGGGGCTGAAGGAGTTTTCTTCTTGGGAGCAATTCAGCTCTAAAATAGTTAGGTAGTTTGGCATGAGTAATCATGGTCTCCACCGGCTATCTCATTGGAATCCTATTGTTGAACCCAGAGCCATCCTTGTGCCTTTAGAGAGGGAAGGTATTCATTGCTGTGAACAAGTTTAACAAGTAAACTACAAGACAAAAGTTGTGAATGACTCTTTGCACGGCGCAGAGATCTCAGACCCTCAGCCCAGACACAAAGCTGAAAGGGGAAGAAGGGTCAGGAGAAAGGGAATTTCTTGTCTGATGCTCTGCGAGGGAACTCCTGTTTTGATGGCACCTGGCAAACGGCTCTTCTCTGCCCTCCTGGCCACTTGTCTGTGGATGTCTTCCAGGGGAATTGACCCTGGGGAGGGTGAGTTCATTCCGCCGGAATCTTCTCTGGAAAAAAAAAACAAAGTCTAAATTTTCTGTAATTTTATCAGTTCAGTTTTCAATGTTCATTCGGTTGGTTTATCCATAAAGGGGTGTAAATAAGTTACCAAATTGTAGCTTTCAGAATATTGCTACAGCTTACAAGTTACTATATCTAGTGCAGAAAATTCAGTCACTTTTACAGATGTCCCAACAAATTCTGGACCCCTTTTTTTCAACTGAATAATATTAGTATCCAATGTTGTACACATTCCCTGTTGGAAACCTGGGTTGTTTGCATAAGGCTGAAGGCATTCTAAATCAGCTTTGTAAAGATTCTTATGTCAGTGTCTGAAGCATAACTGTTGTATTCTGCTTTCCGGGTTAACTATTTTTTTCACTATTGAAAACTACTGATTTCAGTGTGTCTTGATTGTTTCGTGATGAAAAGTAAGCTTCTTTGGTTGCTCTTCAGAGTTCAAAGAAAATGGACTACAAATTTTTAGAATATATAATACATTATGGAAATACAGTACTTTTCAGAAAACACTGTTTTATCAACGGATACAGTATCACGATTTTCTAGCTAGCTTTTAAAATATAAGCAAATGTTTGCTAGTTGAGGAGGTTGTTCTTCCTTAATGTTGTCGTATTTTTTTAGGGGGAGCATCCTCAATTTTAATGCTGCCATTCCAAAATGAGATGCAGACCATATGGGAGAGACTTATACTCCTGTGGGAATAAAAATGATAATATAATATTAATCCTAGAACGGCAGAGCTGGAAAGAACCCCATGGTTCATCAAATCCAGTCCCTGTCAAGAAGGCATACTGGGAAATTGAACTCCCAGTGTCCGGGTCCACAGCTAGATACCCAAACTACAGTGGTGCCCCGCATAGCGACGATAATCCATTCCGGATAAATCGTCGCTATCCGGATTTGTCACTATACGGGGCAAAAAACCCCATAGGAATGCATTAAACCCTGTTTAGTGCGTTCCTATGGGGGGAAAACTCACTGCTAAACGGAAATCCTCCATAGGGGCGGCCATTTTCACTGCCTCTAAAGCGAGGCAACACAGCGGACGGCCATTTTGGAACTGCAAATCAGTTGGCCGAAAATGGGGCCTTTGGGAGGAAGCCACCGCTGGCATTTTCCCTCAGCTGAGCAGTGGGAGCTTCGAAGCCCCTGCTGCTCAGCTGGGGGAAAATGCAGGCGGTGGCTTCGTGGGGCTTCGAAGCTCCCGCCGCTCAGCTGGGGGAAAATGCTGGCGGTGGCTTCAGAAGGACCGCGGGGGAACCCTCCCCCACGATCCTTCAGAAGCCACGGGGGAGGGCTCCCCCGCGGTCCTTTGGAAGCTCCCGCCGGTCAGCTGGGGAAAAATGGGGCTATGGGGAAAAATCGCATAGGCAATTTTTCCCCATAGGCAATATCGCAATGTGATCGCAAAAGAGATCGCAAAAAAGCCATCGCTATGCAGATTCGTCGTTAAACGGGGTGCCCATTAAGAAAGGCACCACTGTACTGAGTTATCCAGCAGTTTCTCCACATTCTCTTAAGAAACAGGAAAAAGCCAGGAGGTAGCCAATTAAAGATTGAATTTCCATTATTTTTTATGTATTCTACTCCTTAGAAGCCTGTTAGTTAAACATAATACCAATATTCATAGAACACAAGATAAAGAAGCGGTAAAAAACAGGAACCACTGTATAATTTTCTCTTGGCGTTTTCCTAACCTCAAGGATTGTGGGGGAGCAGGGCTGTATCCTGAATTCACCCAAGTGATGAAAGAATGTAGGTCATGATTAACTTCCCCCATTTATTTGCAAGTGGATATAACTTCCAATGACTTAATCTGGTCTCATGAAAGGAGAAATACTGAAGAAAATTGTATTGTATTCTTTCCACCTCCCGCTGATTCTTTGTTATGTATTGTGTGAATAATGGTATTATACTTATAAAACTCAGTTAATTGTTTAGAGACACAATCCCATAGAATCTCAGATATACACTATTTATTTACTCATGGCAAAACCATATGTAACTGTATAAAAAGGAATCCAAATGAGCAGATAAAATTTCTAGAGTATGTTCAGCTGCATTGTTAATGTTAAACAGAACTACTCTCAGTATGCAATAAAAATAAAGCCACAGCAAGGAATAACCTCTGAAATTCTGATGGCGGTTATAACTGCCACCCTGACTGCACACTTTCCCCCAGTTGTCAGAAAGGGCATCTTTTTAGACATAGATCAGGCATGTAGAAACAACAGTGGGACCAGTTACCTAAAGGGCCTTGCTAGACATCCACAGGCAGAGGCTGGATTCCTGTCTGAAGAAGAAGGCCTGGAGCTCTGGGCTTCCTGCCATCAAGCTGGGATTAGACAACCTGACCAGACCCTCACCAACAATGTGGTTCTCTCTCTGAGGGAAGGAGGAAAGCCAGGAAAAGAAATTCTGACTGGACAGGTTATTTCACTGCTGGGATGGAACTGCTAAGATTTTACACCAAGTGTTATACATCAGTTAGCAAAATACATGCAATGGAGCTTTATCTGAATACAGTAAGACCCCAGTATCCATGGGGGATCCATTCCCACAATCTACCACAAAAGCCTGAAACCACGGATTGTATGTTAGCTAGCGGTCCCCAACTGTGTCTGAACCGCAGACTGGTGGTAGGGGTCCATGCGCATGGGGCACCCATGCATGTGTGCATGTGAGGGGGCACATGCAGGTGGGCGGGGCATCCATGCACACATGCGTGTGTGGTAGGGGCATGCACACGGGTGGGCGGGACACCCATGTGTGTGTGTGGGCAGCCATGCGAGCGAGCATGGGGGCATAGATGTAGGGGGGGAGAGATCTGTCACAGTGGCCTGGTTCTGCCAAGGCCATGGCCCAGTACCAGGCAGCGGACCGGGGGTTGGGCAAAGTACAAGGAGGTGGCCACAAGGAGGCGGGACAAAGGTCACATACTTTGCTGTATACAGGGTTGTGTGTGCTGTATACAGGGTTGCAGTAAACCATGGATAACTGAAATCATCGATACCGATCTTGTGGATTTGCAGTTTCTACTCTAGTAGGGAAGGGTAAAAAGGAGGCCATTTCTAGACAGGGCAGAGATTAAGTGTGGCTTTTAGCATCACAAATTTCCTTGATCTTTTAAAGGTTTTTATTTCTTGATCTTCAGCCAAACATCAGAGACATTTTAGAAGTGCCATTTAGACAGTGCCTCCATCCTAGATGCAGAATGTCATTAGCAACATTTTCTCTGCTTCCTGCTCTGCATCAGATATCTACAGCTGCGTTAACTAAAATGGGCCAGGATGGGAAAAAACAACAAGAGCCAGGGTACGGTAATGAGGCTCCTCTTCAACTGCATTTCAGACAATGAGGCAGCCTGTGAAACCTTTTCTGGCGCAGGTGCAAACATGGCATGTTAAAACCAGCATCTGGATGGGCTCCCCCAGCTGAGCAGTGGAGAAAGGCCAATGGTGGCAGAGGAACATCAGGGCCGTTATAGCAGAAGTAAAGAAATGGTGTCCTTCCCAGTGTTACTGGACTTCCAGATTTTCAAAGGGGGCAGTGAGAGTCAGTTCGGCAACATCTAGCGGGTCACAAATTTCACCACAACTGGATTACATGATACAGATTTTTTTATCACAAACACTTCTATAAATGTAGGAGAGACTCATGTTAGAATGTGTTATTATGGCCAAAATTTGGAAAAGTTACATCATCATCATCATCATCATCGTTGTTGTTGTTGTTGTTGTTTTTGCTGTTGCTGTTGCTGTTGCTGTTTGTTTGTTTTTTGTTGTTTGTTGCTATTGCTGCTGCTGTTGCTGTTGTTTTTGTTGTTGTTTTACATAATCCCCAGTCAGCCTGGCCATGAGTTGTAAGAGGTACTCCCATGTTCCTCTTAAAATTTTAGGACTTTGTTATGAACTTTGTTATGAACTAACTCTATTATTTCCCAACTCTTCTGCCATTTTTAGTAACAGTTTTTTTTTAATTTTCAGTATGCATACAAATCTAAATTCTCAAAGTATACTGTACGTACATGCCCTGGTTGCGGATTTTGTTTTCCAGAAAAGGCAGGGCTGCAATTTACACGAAACAACATTGTTCTTGCTGATTAGAAAGGATTTCCTGGCAGGAGAGACCTACAGTATTTCTCTCCTGTCTCTCAGCCCTTTTAAGTGCCTCTCTAGTCTGTTCATGTGGGATAGGCTTATTTTCCTGGGGAAGTGGTCATTAACATGACAGTTCCTGATGTTATTATTGCCAACCCAGAGGTTTGGTTTGTGAGGTGCTGGTACTGCTCAGTAGGTTGGAGTGATTCACGGTATAGCTGATGGCTGGGAGTTTGAATCTCCACTGTGTTTCCCAGTCAGCATCACCCAGAGCATGTACGGCTGATGGAGTTATATACCTGGCCAAGCTGCATGGGCCCAGAATGCCAGCAGAAGGAGGAAATGATCAGTTGCTCCTGATTCTTTTCTGCTCCAGAGGATTGCTGAACAACGTCAGAATGGGATTAACAGCATATTGTTGTTGTCCTTATTGGATTTGTAACTGCAGTCAAGGATGGGACATTTTGGGGATCACTCATTCATAGCATTGCTATAAGTCTGAGCCGATTGGACAGCAGATAACAACACCATCAGTAACCATTCTAACTGAGTGAGAAGGTCAATTTTCATCAATCATGCTATCAGCTATTGACTATAACTCAAAGTTATTTTTGGGATACCAAAGAAGAAGTAAAAGAAACAATACTTTTGTGAGGAGATTTCCACCCTTTTTTCTTGTCTCCTCCCCCCACTTTCTTCTTTAGACTGCACTAGGTAATCTTATTTTCCACTCAATAGAAATCCAACAGCCTCAATTAGCTCTTCTTCTCTGAAAGAAATTGCACATTAAGATTAGTTTTCAATACACATTGATCACAGGCTAAAAGAAGCAAGTGAATCCATCTTTCTTTTAGGCCACAC